CTTTAACACACAATTCAATTGATTATGAGCAATCTGTTAAGAGTAGACCCTTATTTCAAGGTGTGGATTGGCAAGCCCTTGCTTCAAACGAGCAGAAGGACACTGAACTTCAAATATCTCAAACCATTTTATCAAATGGTGCTGGTGTTCAACGTCAGTCCCAATCATCTGCAGGAAATTCAACCGGTCAACCCGTGGCTAAGCATCTTCGTGCTCTAGAAGAAAAGTCAAGAACACCTGTTGTACTGGATCATCAACTGAGTTTTAATAGACATGTATCTGGTACACGGTCTCGTTATATGAATGGTGCCAGATCATCACCTCCACGGAGTGTTGGATCATTTGAAACTGGATCAGATTACACTATGGACAAGAAGAAGCATGCCTCGAGGGAAAAAGATAACAGTTTTTTACGCAGATCCAATCACATTGATGAGAAAGAACATGGATTAACAGCGGAAGCTGACTTTACTGAATCAATTATAACGACAATGGTCTCCGAACCTTTGCATGTGACTTCCAGGAGATTTAGTGAAATGCCTGGTCAACATCTGGTATCATTGAAAGAGTATGTTAATGACATAATATCAAATCCTGGAAAGCAGTGGCAGCTAACAACTCTTCGAAAAGCACTCCAGAAGAGGACTGATGCTACCTCAGAGACGCTAATGAATTTACACCGAACTCAATTGGAGATATTGGTATCTCTTAAAACTGGCCTTCAAGAATATCTGCAACAAAGTTATGACATCTCATCATCTGTTTTGGCAGAGATATATCTGAACTTGAGATGTAGAAACGTTGCATGCCGAAGTCTCCTTCCTGTGGATGATTGTGACTGTAGAGTTTGCTCCCAGAAAATTGGTTTCTGCAGTGCTTGCATGTGTCTTGTGTGTTCCAAGTTTGATATGGCTTCTAACACATGTAGTTGGGTTGGATGTGATGTGTGTCTGCACTGGTGTCATGCGGACTGTGGGCTTCGTGAATCTTTTATTAGAAATGGGCGAAGTGCATCTGGGGCCCACGGTGGTACGGTAGAGATGCAGTTTCATTGTGTTGCATGTGATCATCCTTCTGAGATGTTTGGCTTTGTCAAAGAAGTTTTTCTGAACTTTGCCAAGGACTGGAGTGCAGAAACACTTTCCAAGGAACTTGAATATGTGAGAAGAGTCTTCTTTTCCAGTGAAGATGTGAGAGGCAAGAGGTTACATGAGATTGCCATTCAGATGCTGACCAAGTTATCGGTTAAGGTTGACCTTCAAGAAATTAAAAATCAAATCATGCAATTCCTGTCTGGTGAGTCTTCTCATTTAACTATCGTCATTATATTATCGTTTATTGTTTGTTTGCTGATAACCATTTCTTTTTAATCCAATGGGATCTTAATTCATACAAAACGGATCTGACTTTTCTGAGTTGAAAAGGTTTCGGAGTGTTCATTCACCAATCACCACCACCACCACCTAAATCCCAAAATCGTGCCAGTTAATCGTATAAATCTTGTTAACACTATAAGGTAATGCAAAAAAACATAGTGGCAATTTTGTTAGGTCAAATACCCTTCCTGCCTAAACCTTCAAACAAAGAAATAATGAGATGAAAAGTCTAAACCTGCATCATACTAGGATATTTCTACATATATGGAAAGATATCATGATACGACAATGAGTTAAGATATTTGCCTTTGTCATGTGCATTACATAACTAAAATTGCAAGACCAACATGAATTAAGCTTAGAGGCAGGGATAGGTGCACTGAAAGGTTCATTTAATGCTTTGGGTTTGATGAAAATACCCTTTACGAGATGGTGCGTGAGCTAACTTCACTCATTCTTCTTAAGGACGATTCTTGTGTTCCCCAAGCATTTCTCCGTGCCTTTCTTCTGGCCATAGCCTTGCTTGAAGATTGTTTCTTAATTTGCAGCCCCCACCCCACCCACAGAAAATAAACAAAAAATGAAAAATTGATCGGAACAATCTCATGCCCCATTTTATTCTGCTACAGATATCACATTCTTTGTACTTGTATCTTGAAATGCATATCCAGTTTTGGTGTTGCTGAAACTTCATTCGCATCCTTTTCTCGTGATTGCAGAAGCAGAACCAGTAAGGTCCGGGAATGCGCCAATTGTCCCAAGAAAGGAATTAGAGAGCACAAGCCGCGAATTGAATAACCGAATAGTGGGATCCAATAGCTATGGGCCAGTGTGGTCAAAGAGTCACTATTCCGAAAAGTGCCCTCCCTTGGAGAAGTCTGCGGCTTTACCTTCAAACTACGAGTCCAATCGGAATGACAAACCGGTCCTGAGCCCAGCTTTACAGACAAGTCTCATGATTCCAAAAGAACCGGTCTTTGACGAGCTGGAGAGCATTGTGAAGATCAAACAGGCAGAGGCCAAAATGTTCCAATCGCGCGCTGACGATGCGAGGAGGGAATCGGATGCCCTGAAACGAATCGCGGTTACAAAGAGCGAAAGGGTAGAAGAGGAATTCGGGAGCCGGATCGCAAAGCTGCGTTTGGCTGAGGCGGAGGAAATGAGGAAGCAGAAATGGGATGAGCTCCAGACAGTGGAAAGATCCTATCATGACTATTTCAGTATGAAGATGAGGATGGAATCAGACATCAAAGATCTCTTGTTGAAAATGGAAGCTACTAGAAGGAATCTCTCAATGTAACAGGTTATTGCTTGTAGTTTGTACCAATAGTTTTCTTTACTTTTTTTTATTTATTATTATGCTGACAAGAATTTGTATAGATGAGGAGGTTGATACACTGCTATCTAATTCAAATACTATTCTGCAGCAGAAATGTCAATTGTGCCCTTGTGTTTTCACCATCCTAACACTTTTTTTTACCTAAATAGGACCATATGTTTTTATTTCTCAATGTAGGACCTTTGGTCATTATTAATTAGTCATTATTCAAGTAAATGTCCATCATTACTGGGCATTATTCCTTCCACGAAGACATTATTAAGTCCTATTTAAGGAATAAAAAAATTTAAGTCTTAGATTAAGAAAGTCATTATTTATAGTCCTATTTAGTGCAAATTTCACTTTTTTCTTTCCTTCTTTTTGCCAAGTACTCTTTGGAATAGATGCTATGTGTAGATGGGCTTGAGAAACAGATACAAACTTTATATGTGTGTCGATCTCCTTTTTTATTGTGAAAACAAAGGGAAATACTATTACCATTTTTAAAAGGGTGAAATACTAAACATCAACTTAAGTTTTTGGGTTATAAAGTGAATCTCGACTTTATATGCAAGTAGTTAATTTTACATGATATTTTGCCCGTTGTTCTCGGCCTATTAGAGTTTTAACACGATGTTTCGGTGCTAGATGGACGAGTGTGCAGATCTATGGCGATTATAAGATTTAATCCCCCATGGTCTTGTGTTTTACCCATACGATTATAAGATTGAACAGATGATAGCTGTAGGAGCTACTAAAACATTGTCTGTTTTAAACTTAGTTCACTTTCTTTTCTTATATTCTTGCTATTCATTTGATAAAATAATATAGTTATGTAACATCTTGTTTCGTATAACTTTTGATATAGTTTTTGAATATGTAAAATTTATTTTTCAATCTAACTTAAATTTTTAAATTAATTTTATTGAAAATAACTTCGGTCAAACATCGTTAACCGAAACATACGATTTAAATTGGATGGAAAGAGCAATTAAATTTTAAAAATTTCGCCACAAATTGTGAAAAAAAGTATTTAGTTATAATGTAAATTTAATAAAATTAAATTAAATTAAAGATGTTTTAATATATCAAAGTTTTATACTCCCTTTGTCTAAAAATTATTTACTCGTTATGCGTTATGATGTTTGACTGAATTTATTTTCAAGTCTTTTCTTATGAAAAAATAAGTTGAACTAAAAAATAAAAATTATATATTGAAAAACAATCTACAAAACTAGAGGTGACGTGACTATATTATTTTTTCATGTGAGAAATGGAAATAATCCAACAAAGTTTAACCATATAGATAGTGAACAAGAAAATAAATTTGGACAGAAGAAATATTATTTATTTATAAAACTTATACTGTATCTATTAATGGTCAAAATGTTTAAAATCAAACTATAAAAAATTTTTGGAAGGAAAGAAATACTCCATATTATCCTATTAAAAAAATTAAATCAATGACAGAGAATCTTTGAGCCTGTTTGGGAATAGCGTTAGAGATTAACGTTAGCGTTTTGGATAAAATTTTAACGGTGCGGATTACTTTGAAAACGCTAAGACTAAACGCTGCCTGTAGATAGGGTGTTCGATCGGATCGATCCGATCCGATCCGATCCGAAAATTCGGATATCCGAAAATCTCGGATCATGTAAAACTCATTCTATATCCGATCCGAAAATATTCGGATATCCAAAATTCGGATACCCAATTTTTCGGATCGGATCACTGAATTATCCGAAAAGTTGAGTTTTTAGCCAAAATTTACAAAAAAAAGGTAAAATAGCAAAATCAACCCAAAATATCAAATTCAATATAGATTTACTAAAAGAAAAATTCCACCACTTGGTAATGGCCTAATAAAAAAAATGACACCAAATTTAATTTGGGAGTAACTTTGGTAATTTTGCCTAAACAAACAAAAAAACACTATTAAAACAAAAAGTTCTAAAATAATAATGCAAAAAGTCCAAAATGGTTGAGTTCCAAAATCAACATAAGATTACATTTAAACATATAGTCATAATATATATCCATAAAATTCCAAAAACATATAGCAAAAAAAAATCGGATATCCGATTATCTGAAAAATTCCAGAAATTGAATCCATATCCGATCTTATTTTTTTCGGGTATCCGATCCGAAATATCCGAAAGCTAAAATATCGGATCGGATATCCATTTTTCGGATCGGATCGGCCCGGATCGTGGACGGATATTTCGGATCAGATATTTTTGAACACCCCTACCCGTAGATAGCTTTTTCAAAACGCTAACGCTAATCGCTAACGCTATTCTCAAATAGGCTCTTTATCAATTTTTTTAGAGTAAATTCTATAATCAATCTTTTTATAAAATAGTTTTTGCATAAAAAATAAGAAAGATCTATAATTATCCTATTACCCCCGGAGTAGAACAAAAAGATTGAAGGACTAATCTTCCTAAATGTCACCACCACAAGATCCCAAAATGATCTCAAACTGAGAAGAAGAAGAAGAAGAAGAAGAAGAAGAAGAAGACTCCCAAGTCACAACCAAACAATTTGATCAGTTCCGCAGTCATGGCCTTGGCTACATCTTCAAGCCCGCCAGCAGCCGCCCACTTCTCTTCACGAAACCCTTCTCTGCTCGTCCCCATCCCTGCGCCGGCGTTCCCCAACGTCAGATTCACAACCCGAAACCTCCATTTCCCTTCTGTAAAATGCTCTTCCGATTCCACTACCATTGTCGACAAATCTCCCGGACCGATTGCTAATTCACCGAATCTTGACGAAGATCTCGGCGTAAAAGGTTTGAAGGCGGCCATGGCGAAAATCGGGTCGAAGGTTAGGGTTACGGCTCCTCTGAAGGTGTATCACGTGCCTAAAGTGCCGGAGTTCGATTTGACTGGCCGTACCGGAGTTATCAAACAGTACGTTGCGGTTCACAAGGGGAGGGAGATTTCTGCCAATCTTCCTTATAAAGTGGAGTTCGTGGTGGAGGACATGGACGGCCGCAAGGGACCCCTCAAGTTCTTCGCCCACCTCAGGGAAGATGAGTTTGAGTTTCTTGGCTGAATTTCCTTATCCTTTTATGTGATGATGATGATAATCAAATATGAATATATTGATTCGCGTAGCAGTCACTGGTTCTCATTCTGTTATTCTGTAGATACGAAATGAAATGCCTACTTAGCTGTGTTCATACCTCATTCTCTTTGATGAATTGAAAGAAATATACTGTCATATATTTCCGCTCTGAGATTTTGGATCATTTAACAATGGGATAATGACTAATGACTTTTTTATGGCAGATGCCCATTAATAAGATCTATATTTGATGGGTAGGGTGAGGAGTGGTCTTTTGGAGGGAAGTCCCGATAAGCTAGGTTGATGTGGTTTGAGCACATTAGGAGGACAAGTGTATGGACCCCAATTAGGAGATGCAAAGGGCTTACGGTAATGGGCGTGATAAGGGGTAGAGATAGACCAAGTAAGATCTTGGATGTTGCCAGTACCTATGACTTTGGGATCATACTGAAAATATTGCCATAGATAGGGAACACCATAGATAGGAATGTGTGAAGATCTAGGATTAGAGTAGCTAGCTGGGTAGATCCTTGATCTTAGTTTTTGGTTTATGCTGGTGTGTTTTTATGCCTTAGTAAGTAGTTGTGCTTTCGGTGATTTGGTCCTAGTTCTTAGAGTCGGTATGTGTGCTTCTTTTGTCTATGCTCATACCTTGTTTGTGCTACTGTGGTTTTTTTGCCTTGCTTCTGTGTTTGAGTTGTGGGTCTCTTGCCATTAGGGGTAAGGTATCCATACACACATGGCACACCCTCTCCAAACTCCAAACCCTACATTTTGTGGAATTTTATGGTTGGTGATGTCTATTGTAACTGAGCAATATGCACACATGTCTTTGTTATTTCTCTGTAGTACTTTGTGCCAACTTTGATCAATTGATGGAGCTGCGAATGTTAATGTACTTGTTGTATGGAATTTGTTTTTTCCAGAAACTTAGGGTTTGTTTGGATAATGTAAAATGCTAGTGAAAGGGGGAAAAAAAGAAGCCAAGGAAGGTTTGTCTACTGTGTTTGGTTTTGCTACAGAGAGTGCAAAGGAAATGAAATATGAGGAATGTTTTCAAATTTTTTTACACATGTTCAGACTTCTTTCTTTATATGGTAAAATCTGACAGATACGACGAGTTCAAACTTATAGGGGTCAAAAAAGAATGTTTTGAATCTAAAGCCAATGCTTCTATTTTCCATCATGTTTTATTTACTTCCAAATTTCTCATATATTTTCCCACATAGTTACTCTCTCCTTCATGCATTTGAGCTCCAAACATATCCTTACAGGTGATGAATGGTTGTCTGGGCATATCATGCACCTCCAGTGTATGGATTTTTCAATAGTAGTATATGATAGTAATCCTCCTCCTTTTTATATGTGATTGAGTCTCTGTGTAACTTTTGTGTGGTTCGGTTGGTCTTACATGGTAACACAAATTGCAAAAGGAGTTGCATTGCAGTGAGGATACCATTGCTGTAAGGGATGACAATGAGTTGAGTTCGGTTTGGGTTTCAGATTGAATTTAAGCGAACCGAGTTAGAATATTTTGTCTTTGGATCAGGTTCAGATATTTTTAGATTGGGTTGGTAAAAGTCGAATTCAAGTTGAATTTTTGTCCTTAAATTATGGAGTTGATGACGGAGGAATTGCAGAAAATGAAGAGTTGTGGTGTGCGGATTGCGGAACTGAGAAGGAGAAACATGAGAGTTAAGGGTGTGAATGAAGAAGACATGGGAGACTTGAGATTGCTGCAAGAGATAGCGTTACTATTGGTGAAGGTTTTATATAAGTATTGTCGGGATTTATATTTATAGGCCAACAAAAAAATTATCATGCGCGTAAAAATGCAATGAGAACTCACATTTGCCCGCCATGGTTTGGAGACCATCCCCAATTCATCCCAACAGAATTTCAGTTTTGCATAGCATGAAGTTATATCTAAGTTCCCTTGTGCAATATAAAACAGAGTATATGTTCTTTTGAAGCTGGTACAACCGAGTTCTGTTGGTTTTTAAGCTCATTTCAAAGATCCACAATTGGGTGTGCGTATAGAACGTTTTCCCGATTTCCTTGCTTAGAACATTTAATATGCATGAGGTTATCATGTCGTTACATCGTTTCCAGGCATTTAACTACACTGGATCATCACCAGGTTTCTTAATCTTTCCATAGACAAAATTTGAGTGTGTTCTTGGCAAATGGAGAATTTTTAATCGATTTCTGCCAAGATTCGAAACCTTCTCCTTCAAGTTTCTTCGAAACCAAGGCTAAACTTAGATGATCAGAAACATGGAGATATAATGGATTAGAAGGATATTTTCTTCCATAAGTTTCTTCTGTTTCTATCGCCATTGATGATTAACGAGCAATTAGTTTGAAGAAACATCCAATTGTGAACAAAATGTTGAGCAACAAGTTGAAGCGCATATCCATTATTAATCGCGCTCTGATGCAATGCTGGATTTTGTAATGAATTCTTTGATAATCAGACAAGAGAATAGAAGGAAGAAGATGAAGAAATGAAAGAAAATTACTTCAATGCCAAAAATCTCAATGTATAGTGCCAAAAAACATCGTAAATATCAAGAAACCAATTCAACCAAAAGCTCAAGCTTGTGGTTGTGGCACAAAAAGAGTTATTTATATTCTAACACGGCCCCTCGCGTGGAGGCGCAGTTTTTTTCGAGCCTTGCACGTGAAACCTTTTAATTTTCTTGAAACTGAGTGGCGCTGATGAGTTTCGAACCCTTGACCTCTTAGTCAACAAGACTCCGTTACCATGTCATGGAACCAATTCAACCAAAAACTAAAGTTTGTGGTTGTGGCCCAGGAAAAGTTATTTATATTCTAACAATAAAATACCAACATATAACACAAATTTGTGAAACTAGCTTCATAGTGTCAATGCTTCTATTTAGCCGATAAAAACATGGAAGGTCTTATTTTAATGTAGGTTTAATCTTTAGAGAAATTATCTCAAATAAATCATCTTTTCACAATCAAAATATAACCTACCTCTTAATGTTATGTGAAAAATCTTAATGTTTTTATATTATAACACGCCTCCTCGCGTGCATGTATAAAACTTATTACTCCCTCTGTCCCGTTTTTAATCGTCTGTTGACATATTTAAGAAAAAGAAAAATAGAGTTGATTTTTTAAAATTGTCATTACTTTTTAGAAGGGGTGACGATGAATGAGAAGATAAAGTGGAGAAGAGTAACTTATTTTAGGGGTAATTTAGGTATTTTACTCTTAAAAGTTTACGATAACAAGTAACAGACAACTTATTTTGGGACGGAGAAAAAAGACAAACAAGCAATTTAAAATTGGACAGAGGGAGTAATAATCTTATCTTCTAGCGAATAACATATAAAAATCTTCTTTGTCTTAAATTTTGTCTCAATCCTTCATTATTGAAATACAAATATAAAAATCTTTCATTATTGACGTCGATTGGTCATGGATATTACCAATCACTCCGTAGTAACTTGTGCTACACCCTCGGTCCCGTAAAATTTTTTACAGTTTAGTTTCATGAAATTTAAAAAAATTGTTGAAAAGTAAAAAAATGTTACTAGAAGTTATTTATATGGGAAAAAATTGTTGGCATTCATATATTCATAACCAAAATAGGCAAAAAGAAACAAGTGTAATTTTTTTTAAACATCCAAAAAACGAAAGTGTGGGAATATTATTCATGTCGTTACTCTCATAATTTCGCTACGCCAATACGAATAATTTCTTTTAACATTTTTAAATAATCGTATTTTTTGATTCTGTCTATTGTTTATCACATCATGTCAATGTAATTTTAATTCTAATGTTAATGAAGTATTTAATTAATATTTTTATTAAAAGTAATTTTGATTTAAATAAATGAAAAAATCAGGGCGTGATCCACACACCTGTTCAGTGATGGACTGTGATGAAAAAAGGAAAAACTAATGTGGCGTTGAGTGACAGGGCGTGATAGGCGTGATGACACATATCACACCTACCGGCCTAAGAAATTATGATAAATAAATGATGGTGAAATGTGAAACATATTTGGAATTTTGTGGACAATTCTTATTTAGAGTATGAATGGAAAATGTGTGGCCATGTTTATAGAATGAAGACCTTGACCTTGACCTTGACAAGTGAAGTAACCACAAGTCTTCTCTTCAGACCTTGACCGGAATTCGTTTTCTTGTTTGTTTTTTTGGGTCAAATTTCTACACTTAGATTGTTAATAAATATGATTTTTAATAAATATTAGATGTTATAAGCATTTGATATATCAAAATCAATCCTTAAAGTGAAATCAATTATATTAAATTAGAATATAATAAATATGTTTTTCACAATTTGTATTTAAAGAAAAAATTTGACCATAAAACTCAAAGCCTTAATTTTGTATGGGACTTAGGATCTATTTCTGTGGATTAGTAATAGGTTGTTTTGTCAGGTATTTCATGTCAATCTCTTGTTTCATCATATACTATCCGGGTGAAATTAATCGTCTCATTTAGGTTAAATATTTTCTTTTTCAATTACTTAGTTTTGTTAATGATTTGTTAAAATTACACAATCATGTCACTTTAGTAATAAGTGATATCTAACAACAAATTATTATTACCCAAATTATAATAATGTTGTACGCCTAGACAATACATTTCCATTTTCCACTACAAAAACTCTAGTGCAACCTTTGTGCTTTTGTCTTGATATCACAATTTAAAAGGTATAAAATGTCTAACCTTTTACGGTTAAATTGGTGGTTTTTTGATACCCTCTCTTCCAATTTAAATTATTTATTTACTATTCACATGATCAATTTTTAACAACGTTCTTTACTTATTTTCGCTACTCATTTGAGAAAATAATGACTTTTAAAAATATAAATTTTATTTTTAATTGCTTAACAATTTTCAAACAAATTGAATTAAAAACAACTTCAACAAAATCCCGAAAACAACATACGATACTTTTTAAGACGAAGAGAGCACTTAAATTTGGCTAATAAGATCAAATAACATCAATATCGTACGTTGATGTATTGGGGCATTATCATGGGTGCACTTCCTCAGTCGTATCTAGTAATTAGTAAGGGGGAAAGTGACATTATATCAATTTAGAGTGGGATTTTTTTTATGTATTGTCACTCTACGTGTATCCCAAAATTTGTACTTCATTTGTATACTAAAGATATGCATTAACATTTTGATGGTTCACCCTGACACAAAGTGTTGATGCGTTTACAAAAATTAGCATTACGCCATCACAAAATGTTGGTACATCCGTGTACAAAATGAGGTAAAATCCTTGGGATACAAATAGTTTTATCCATTGTCACTTGTATTTCTACATGTGAATAGCAATATACCCGAAACATAACTATACGTTCACTATTATTTCAGATGTCATTAGATATGAATCAAAGCTTAAAGTCCTCGCATTAGATGTTGAATATAGTACGAGTACTAATGTTCCAAAAACAATGTGAACAACAAAATGTAGTAAATGTACTAATGTTTCAAACATAATGTGAACAACAATATATAATGAAAGAGCAAATTTTTTCATCTAACAATATACTCCCCCCCCTCCCCATCCACAAAAACTTTCTAATTTGACCAGACACGAATAATAAGAAAAGTTAAAATTTGCTAAAATTTGCTTTGACTTTCCCAAAATATCCTTACACCTACTCGCCCTCACTCCTCACTAGGGGTGTATACGAATCGAATCGAAGCAAATATATCACTATTCGATTCGTATTCGATTAAAGTGATATGTATTCGAATATGGATTCGTATATAATTTGAATTTTAAAAAACATTCGTATTCGATTCGATAGATATTTGACGTATTTGAATTCGTATTCGAATATTCGAATTCGAAAATATTAGTAATTTTTTCTTAAAACAGATTTCTTAAAGACATTAAATTATTATTTTATAATAATGTAAAATGTAGTAAAAATGTAGTAAAAATATGTTAGAATATATATAAATTTATTTATAAATTATAATATTTGAATATATATAAATTTATATGTACACAAAAATTTAATATATTAAAATGTGTTAAAATATGTACACAAATATTTAATATATTAGAATATATATAAATTTATTTATAAATTATAATATTCGAATAATAAACGAATCGAATCTATTAATATTTGTATTTGGATTCGAAAATAATTCGAATCTAAAATACGATTTGTATTCGGATTCGAATTTGAATATAGCGAATACGAATCATCCTTTTCGAATACGAATCACGAATCGAATACATTTTATTTGATTTGTATGCATCCCTAGTCCTCACTTCCCTCTTTGAATAATCATGCATCTCCTTCAACCATTATTACCACAAAAATTAACTTTCTCGCCCATAAAATTAGATTGAGTAATTGGGGAAATCTAGGAAATTTGAAGTGAGAACTATGAACAAATATGGAAGCTTTGGAAAAAGAAAAATTAAATGGACATAGATTGTTGAACGGCACAGATTCCAAATTGCCGGTGAAGACGGAGTTCACGGCGGCGACAGAATCTTACTCCGGCCGCGAAGTGACTTCGGAGATATTGTCTTTATGTTCGTCTAAACATTAATTCTAAATCTGATTTTGTAAGAGATTGTTGTTGGCGGCACAGATCTAAGCCGGCTGGGTTTGGTGGTGACTAACGAGGTTGGATGTGGTGGTGATGGAGATGATACTACATTAGATCTGTCCGGATCTGACCGCCACGCACCTCCGACCACCGCCTCGGTTTTCCGCTGCTCCGAATCGGGAGGAAAAAGAAAAGAAAGAAGAAGAAGAAAAGAGAAGAACGAAATGGAGAAAAGAAAGAAGAAGAAAAGAACGGAGAAGTGAAGAAAAGAAGAAAAGGATGTGGGTTGGGTGAAGAAAAAAAAAGATACGAAGTAAGAGAGAGTAAATGGATGGTAATTAAGTCTTTTTTAGTATTAAAAGGTTTCCAAAAAAAGAAATGAGAAGTTTATTTGGACAAACGAAAAAGGAAAGTGAGAAGTTTTTTTTTTTTTTGTGGAGGGAGGGAGTATACAACTTTGGTAAATAAATATCACAATGCTATGCAATCCACTGCATGCACCATATCATATGGCTTCTACAGTACTTGTCATCCTCTTGCTTGTACCCCTCATTAATACTGTTAGTTCAATAGCTCTGAATCAAAGAGAAGCCCTTCTCAAATGGAAAGCCAGTTTGGACAACCAAAGCCAAAAAGTCCTATCTTCTTGGGGGGATAGTAAGGGTAATAATCCATGCCATTGGGTTGGACTGGCCTGTGATGAAGCTGGAAGCATCACCAACATAAGCCTTGCAGGTTCAAATCTCACAGGGACACTCCGGGGCTTGAACTCTTTGGCCTTCCCCGGCCTAAGGGAGCTTAATTTCCGAAACAATACGCTTTTCGGCCCCATTCCTTCCCACGTTTTTAATCTATCCAAACTAGTTGTTCTTGATTTGTCTTTTAACGAGTTTTCTGGAAACATTTCTTCTGGGATAGGAAGGTTAAGCTCCCTTTCTAAACTTGACCTTTCTGGGAACAATCTTGCTGGTCAGATTCCTCCTGAAATAGGAAGGCTGAGCTCGCTTTCTCAACTCTTTCTCTCCACAAACAGCCTCACTGGTCGAATCCCTCCCGAAATAGGAAGGTTGAGCTCACTTTCTATACTCTTTCTCCTTGAAAATAACCTCACTGGTTCAATCCCTGTTTCTTTTGGAAATTTGACTAGTTTGAATATGCTGTCAATAATGAACAACAGGCTCAATGGTTTTATACCTCAGGAAGTTGGACGGATGAGATCCCTAAACCAACTTGATTGTGCATCCAACTTCTTTAGTGGTCCTATCCCTGCATCAATAGGAAATTTAAGCCAATTAACATACCTCACTCTTTACCAGAATCTGCTGTCTGGTTCTATTCCAAGAGAAATAGGAATGATGAGATCTACCATCATGTTTGATCTTTCTAGGAACCACCTAACTGGTCATATCCCAGCATCAATTGGAAATTTTAGCCATATCAGATACATTTACCTTTATGGCAATGAGCTTTCTGGTTCTATTCCTAGCGAAGTAGGATTGATGCAATCACTTTGGGACATTCAGTTGCTAGGCAATAATCTCAAAGGAGTTATCCCTACTTCCATTGGAAACCTTACTGAGCTTAAAATTTTAAAACTATCCCATAATGCACTGTCGGGTCCAATTCCTGTTGAAATAGGAAGGTTAAGCTCACTTTCTGTTCTCGACCTCTCTGATAATGCACTGTCGGGTCCAATTCCTGTTTCATTAGGGAATTTGAGCACTTTGACTGACCTTGTCCTCACAAACAATGAGCTCACTGGTTCTATACCACTTGAACTAAACAGCCTAATTCATTGTGCATCCATACAGTTGTCCAACAACAAACTCACTGGTCATTTACCTGATCATATTTGCCTTGGGGGATCACTTCAGTTCCTAGCTGCAAATAGAAATCATTTGACGGGTCAGATTCCAACAAGTTTGAGAAACTGCACCACCTTAAAAAGAGTAAGGCTTGAAGATAACCATCTCGATGGAAACATAACTAATAAGTTTGGCTTGCATCCAGTCCTGGATTATATCGATCTTAGCGATAACAAGTTGTCCGGCGAGCTTCCTCGAAAATGGAATCTTTTCCCTAACCTCACTGCTTTCAAAATATCTGGAAATGCAATCTCTGGTAGGATACCTTCTGAGATAGCTCAAGCCGCACAATTACAGTTCCTTGATCTGTCTTCTAATGATTTAAGTGGAGAAATTCCTAATGAACTAGGCAGGCTGACAAGATTGGGAAGCCTTCTTCTCAATGACAACAAACTCGTTGGCAACATCCCACAAGAGATGGGAGAGCTTTCTAATATGGAACACCTTAGTTTGGCAGCAAATAGTTTGATGGGGGTGATTCCTGGAAACCTTGGGAAATGCTTCAGGTTAGTGAGCTTGAACTTGAGCAGTAATCATTTGGTAGGTAATGTTCCAGTTGAAATGTACAGAATATTTTCCCTTGATACTCTTGATTTGAGTTGGAATATGCTGGGTGGAGAGATTCCTCCAGAGCTTGGAAGATCTCAAAGATTAGAAAATTTGAACCTTTCTCATAACTTGCTTTCTGGTGTCATTCCATCCACTTTCAATTACATGCAGAGCTTGTCGAAAGTGAACATTTCTTACAATCAGTTGGAGGGTCCTATTCCAAGCAACAAAGCATTCATCAATGCCCCATTTGATGCTCTCCAAAACAACAAAGTCCTGTGTGGTAATGCCTCAAGCATATCCCCTTGTGGGAAGGGAAGCTCCAATAACGGACTGGTGATCCTAATAGTTACACCTATTTTGGGGGGGTTGCTTTTGTTGTTAATTCTGGTCGGCTGTGTATTCCTCATCTTTAGCAAAAAGAATGAGCCAAGAGAGGCACAATCTCAAGACATTTTTTCCATTTGGGAACCTGATGTGAAAATTCACTATCGAGACATCCTTGATGCTACTGATGAATTCGACTCCACCTATTGCATTGGTTCAGGAGGAAGTGCAACTGTTTACAGAGCTGCTTTACCAGGTACTGGTCTTGTGGTGGCTGTGAAGAAACTTTGTGCGCCAGACGATGATCAGCCCTTTCACCTAAAAGCATTTGAAAGCGAGATCCGTGCTTTAGTGGACATTCGACATCGCAACATTGTGAAGTTCCATGGTTTTTGTACTTCTAAAGAGCACTCATTCTTGGTACTTGAGTTCGTAGAAAGAGGGAGTCTGAGAAATGTTTTAAGGAACCCAGAAGAAGCGGAGAAGTTGGATTGGGACAAGAGGCTGAACATTATCAAAGGGCTAGCTAGTGCTTTATCTTACATGCACCACGATTGCCAATCATCGATAATCCATCGTGACATATCTAGTAACAATGTCCTGCTGGATTTGGAGTATGAAGCTCATGTCTCTGACTTTGGCATAGCTAGAATTTTGAAACCTGACTCTTCCTTTTCGACATCATTCGCAGGCACCTTTGGCTACACAGCTCCAGGTAATCCATGAATCATGATAAATCCCAGTGTCATATGTTGCTCTATACTGTCCATTGTCAATGATGCTAAAATATGTTTTAGGATTTTAGCTTATACGGAGTAGTAAATAACAAACATAAATCAAAATGACACATTAATCTTCCCGTGTTTCTTACGTTCTATGAAGTTTGGGCAGGAAATGCATCAAAGGTAACAGTGTTTCTGTGTTTGCATCATATTCCCATGTACAGAGCTTGCTTACACGAGGCAGGTGACTGAGAAGTGCGATGTCTACAGTTTTGGCGTGGTGACAATGGAGGTGATCATGGGAAGGCATCCGGGGGATCTGGTTTTGAGCATATTGACACCAAACAACCATGGCCAACTAATGCTGCTGCTGCTAAAAGATGTCATAGATCCACACCTCCAACTTGAGAGGAGGAGCCAAGTGCTGATGGAGCAAGTGGTTTCCACACTGAAGATAGTGGTTGCGTGTTTGCACCCCGAACCACAGCTTCGGCCCACCATGCTACAAGTTTACAATGCACTTACCAACGGCCGACCATCTCAGCTGTCAAAACCATTTTCATCAATAAGTTTGGGAGACTTACTTGAAGCTAGTCTAAGTCTAGCCTAGAGCATGAAATGAAAGCACTCTATTTTGTTTATCTATTTATCTCTCCTATGCATCTAAAATGTTATGTATTACCTTTTTCAAATCTGAAGCAGAGCACTTGCAAAAACCAAAATGTGTATCATCATATGTAGCGCTTGCTTTAAGTTTCTTTTATTAGTGCATCCTTCTTTCCTCTATTTCTATGTACACATGGTGTCCTTTGTATTACTCCATTAATAACAAAGTGCCAACTCTATAAACAAACTAGTGTTGTACTGCACAATGTGCAACTTTCAGTGCCAGGTATAAATTCGGTCTCACGTGTTCTTTGGTAGTGGATTTTTGTTTAGTGTTGTCAGTCTTGTGTTGGCGGCCGCGGAGACCCGTGGCGGCGGCAGCAACCAGTGAGTAATAGAAATATTGAAAATCCACAGAAAAACACTTCATTATATGTGTGAATATATGTTGGATTACATTGTATTGGGACATTCAAGAAAGAAGAGTGTATCAAATACCTTTCCATTATACCTACTTCATTTGCATTTACACAAACCAACTTAGTGGGATTAACAGAGAAGAACATTTGCCACTTCCTGTACCGAACCTAACAGAGAATCAAGCGGTGACAGTGAAATCGACCCACATAGTGGCTTGAAGCTTTAGAAATGGAGCACACAATTTGCACTAAGGAACAATTGATAGTTGGTTAAGATAAGCGTGGTACTGATCAGAAAGTGTGGGCCTTATGAAAGTATATTAATGACACATATGAACACATTTGAACAATCAATCCTATCACAATCAAGGACCATTTACTAGTGGGAAATTCATACCGATCATTCATCTATAGTTCTGCACAAAGATGTGAGCATCATAGTGACCATAAGTGACCCCTTATGAACATAACCCTCATAGGAATCATTTAAACAATAAGAAACCAAATATTTATGTCAAGTTATATAGTGGTTAATTGATCATTACTACATAGTGATTTTTCTGCCAATATTGTCATCTCCCGAAAATTTTACGCCATAATGTGAGTGATGAAGTGAAACACTTCGGCATCGGGGAAAAGACAAATAATTCTAGGAATAAGCATATACTATCTGGGAAAATTGCAGCAAACCATTCGAGTAGAGAATAGAGAGAAGCCATGAATAAAAAGCCCTAACACAAGAAGAGAGACATTGCCATGAACATTGCAGAACAATAATAGGTTCAAGGAAAAAGTTCCAATTAACACAAATAGGCTTTTGCCACTTTTCTAAAATCACAGTCTCTGTATCAGTAATAATTAGTTAAACAAAGGCATAAAAAAACCAATTCTCAACGGGACAATAGCAGAGAAGACGATTCAATTAGCTAAACCAAAGAGAGATTTTGGGGATTCAATTTTTCCATTGATTGATGTTCTTAAATGCAGAAGAGAGGCTAATGTGTTACCTTGTCGGGCCGAAACTGAGCCAAGGAAGACTGGATCAGATCGAGTGGATAGATATATAAAGAGGGGTTTCTCTTCTATGGATTGGAGCCATCGCCGGCCGTCGGAATATTTCCGGCGCTACCCCATGATCACCTCAGTGGAGTGAGTAGAGGTCCCTATCTTCAAACCAGTCTCCTTACTCAAAATCGAAACAATTTTTCTTTTTGTTGATTTGGGTTTCTTTTCAATTCTCTTATATATTGTCCAAATTCCTAACAATAACGTCAAATTTTATTATAGATAATATAAAATATAGTTTAACACAAAATACATATTTTTAATATTATTTTTTTGAGAAGTATTTTTAATATAATTTTAGTCATTATATAAGAAATAATTTTATTCCTATATTTTTTTATAAAAGAAAATAAAAAATTAAATGTATATTGTTTTTAATAAAAAATACTACCTCCGCCCCAGAGTATTTGTCCACTTTCATTTTTACACACCATCCAATACACTTCTTTAATCCATTTTATCTTGTAATTTGTATATTAAAAAATTAGAAATTATATATTAATAATCTATATGTTAAGACACATCAAACAAGATCACACATGACTATATTTAGGCTTACACATTGAGAGAATTTGATGAGTCAAAGTGCTTAGATGAACAGTTTCAAAAGTCAAAACTGGACGAATACTCCGGGACGGAGGGAGTATATATTTAAATAAGTCTGGATTAACATGCCAATACATCAATTTTGTGTCATCTATAAGAAAATTAGACGTTATCGGTAAGAATTTAGGGAAATAAATGGGCTAATAGCATGGTTTCCCCCCGTGGTTTACATAAAGGGCGTCAAAACCTCCCCTATTTTCAAAAGTTATTTGTAAAGTCCCTATGGTTTTTAAATAGAGCACGAATGCCCCCCTTACTTGTTTTTAAAGCAAAAGTGCGGAGTAACATTTATGCCCTTTCTTTTCCTCAATCTTAAATTTTTCTAATTTTATTTTCCTTTATTATACAAATATATAATATAAAATATATGCTTCCCATCTCAAATTAAAATTTTCCATAATGTATTTTTGACAACAAAAGATTTTTTTGGAGAATATTACAAAATAAAATGAAAAATAAAATATTATGTACAAAGTAAAAATAGTATTTGAAAAAGGTAATGAAAAGAAAGAAAAATATAAAAATCGGTCTTTTCATTAACTCCATGTTTTTTTTCATCTTTTTGTTCTTCATTTTTTAAAGTCCTTAAAAAAACTATTTTACTTTTAAAAAATAAATAAGTTAGAGTTTTTAATTAGAGATAAAGTGAGTATATGTTCTCTAATTTTTTATTTTATCTATTTTACTTTTACTTATAATGAAAAAGTGTAGTTTATTTCATTTTTTAATTTTTCATTTTCTTTTGTAACATTTTCTAAAAAAACTTATTTTTTTGAAAATTAAATAAATGAAAAATTTTAATTTGAGAAAGAGGGCGCATTTTTTATTTTATTTTTTGTATAACAAAAATGCAAATAAAAAGTGAAATTTGAAGATAGAAAAATAAAGGGCAAAAATGTCATTTTAAATAAGAGAAAACTGAAGAGAATGACTTGATGGAACAAAAAAGAATAGTACAAGAACTATATTGCTATGGTTTTAGTACAAGGACCTCCACGATACTTTGTCCGTTGATAGTTCTTATTGTTTAATCTTGGACACGTGATTTGATTTAATCATGCTTTCGGTAGACACTTTAGTACATGCAATGCACAATTATTTTGTAATTTAAGCACTCGTAATTTAGAGTACATATACCCTACATTCGGATGTATGATATTTCGTATGCATCCACTTGAATACTCATTTTCGCTGAATAGAATATTCATTTTCACTTGAATACACCTACATTCCTCTCGCACTTGAACTCGAACCTGCTCTATGTGATCTAGGTTTTAGTCATATGAAGTATATGACTAGTACTTACATTGACAATTAAAAAGAATACAGATTCAGAGTTTAAGAAAATGATAATGTGCACGATATAAATATATACTCTTTGAAACGAGTATTATTAGTATTACAGTATTAAAAATATGGATAATTTTGAAACCTACATATAGACATATACATAGTATATTTTTTTGTTCCTTAAATCAAAGTTTTAAGACACACTCTTTCGTACATCGACGTCCACTCTCGCACTCGAATGCGCTTTGGCTTTATGTGATCTTGATAGTAACACTCCTTGGAGACTTTGGAGTTTGAGTTTGGAGTTTGGACTATTGGACCACAGTGGCAGATGTGGAGACGATTTGGTTTATAGTTTATACGGAGTAAAAAAGAAAAAAAAAACCTGTCATCTTTTCCTTACCCACTAATATACCTTGGTTTTCCCCCCTTTTTGACACTTCTTCTCTGAAACCCTAAATCAGTAAATTTTCCCAGTTTCAGCGACGATCCAGTGAATGGATTGCCCTTCTGGTTCCTGATCCACGTCTGATAAAAGAGGTGCATTTTGCTTACATCTTGTTATACGATATACACGGAAATCTTAATCTAAGTGTTGTTGCGGATTTAGGATATTATGTAGTATTATCACAAGCTTGTTTTTTTTTTCCTTTAATTTATGTTAAATTAAGGCGGTTTGTATTTTTCTAGTAATCTGCTTCTTTTAATCTTTTCCATTCCATTGATGTTCTAGCTCTTGGTGAATTCATAACCGATCAAATCTCGTGAGAACTTAGATTTGTAGTTATATTTACTTTATTGGAGATCACAATTCTGGAGTGAGGTTTTAAATCTCTTTTAACAATTTCTTGCCATGTTCATGAGATTGTGGAGGTTTTTTTCCCTCAACTTCTTCATATTTTCGCATGGATTAATTGGAGAATAGGATTTTTAGGGAGAGGGGTTGGGTTCTTTTCAGGAAAATAGGTCATGATGATGTTAATCTTTAGCTGGGGTGACACCAAACCTGACTCTCTGCTTCTTCTTGCGGTATAGGTGAGGTTTGACTACATCTCATGCACCCTTTCTAGATCTTACTTTAAATTGAGAATTGATGGGTTTGTTGGTTTGTTTTAGTTAGATCATGATGATGTTGCTTCTAAGTGACTCATATTGATGTTTTTTTAATTCCATTTTTACAAGATTGTAGTAAACATCAGAATTTTTCATTGCTGACCTTACAGGGGAAATTTGACATCCCCCCCAGATAGTGTACACAGTTCTCATCGTTGTACATTGTTTTAAATGCAGAGTCTTATATCGGGCTTGGTCTCTGGAACTGGATGAAAGGGGAGGCTGAATGTTTCATATGCCACAACTATTAAAAATTGATTCCTAGGAGTTGTTTTTTGATGCAGAATCTTACCAATCAGTCTGCATAGTTATAAAAAGTAGTTGGTCAGCGACATGTATGCCAAGCTAGTGCTTTGAGGATTTTAATTCCTATCACAGAGGAAATGAGACTACACTATTTTATATTAATTGGTCTATTTGTATTGGTCCTGGGTGGCTACATCAGTGCAGATTCTGAAAATGAATCTTTACAAAAAGTAATAACTGCTCCACTCAGAAATTCTGGAAGTAATGTAATAGACGGTTCTGGAACAAAGTATGATTTTTCATCTGGAAATGGTGATCCGAGGCGCGGGAACAACAGAGTTTCAATATCTACCGTTGCTATTTTCACACTTGCCATGGCTGCTGCTACTGGATTGGGTGCTGTACCGTTCTTCTTTGTTGACCTTGATTCACAGTGGTCTGGAATATGCAATGGAATGGCTGCTGGAGTAATGCTAGCTGCAAGTTTTGACCTTATACGAGAAGGACAAGACCATGGGAGTGGAAGTTGGGTTGTGTTTGGGATTTTGACCGGCGGAATTTTCATTTCACTTTGTAAAAAGGTACCATCTCTTGATCTTTGTTTGGTAGGGTAGACATAGGAAGAGAGATAATGGGAAGAAATAAACGAATTTACTTGTATGGTAGAAAATATAAATTTAGAAGAGAAACAAACAATGGCATGCAGCATTCATCTATTTTTTTCTTCCCTCACAAGTGAAAGAAATCAGAAATAGAGAAACCTCACCTTTTTTTGAAATGTTTTCTATCCTTTTTTTTTATCTCTTTGATGTTGAGGTTTTCTATTTTGCACGGATTCTAAATGTCCCTGTTTGGGTACATAGGGACATCTTGACATTCAAGTTCTTTGTAAAATTTGAAAAAATGACTGTTTTGCTGTTCCTGAGCCCGTCCATGTACTTGAGTACCCTCCGTCTCCAATTCTCCATGCAACTAGGATGCTTCTGACTTTTCTAAACTAGGGAGCCTGTCCATGTCCATGTATCGTTTTCTATTCATTAGCAAACTTTTTTATCTCATCTCTTTCTTTTAAGTCTGCTCTCTGTCATTTATTTTCTCTTACAGTCTTTCTACCATCTCTCTCTCTCTCTCTCTCTCTCTCCCTCGCTCTCTCTCTCTCTCTCTCTCTCTCTCTCTCTCTCTCTCTTAGTTCTCTCCTCACAACCAAGCAAAGCATTAGTATTGATCTGTGTTTTTTCTTTGTTGTGTTATTTCTATTCTTGTCCTTTACAGACAGAATGATGTTAGAAGGTTGTTCTGATTAAAATTGATTAAAGTTCATGAGTCTGAAACCACTATTTTGCACTCAGAAAAAGACTTGTATGTGTAGTATTATGTATTTTTTGTTTAAAGTAGGACACGGACTTGTTGCTTCTTAATGCATAAACGGTTTGCTTTTTCCGTTTGTCAATTTTGAGACAGTTTCTTGATCATTATGGTGAAGTTAGCATGTTGGACATAAAGGGAGCAGATGCAGCAAAAGCTGTGCTTGTTGTTGGTATTATGACTCTTCATTCATTCGGTGAAGGTGCTGGTGTTGGAGTATCCTTTGCTGGCTCCAAAGGTCTATCTCAGGGCTTACTGGTAACTTTGGCCATTGCCGTGCATAACATTCCAGAGGGCTTGGCAGTGAGCATGGTTCTTGCGTCTAAAGGAGTTTCTCCACATAAGGCAATGTTATGGAGCATAATAACTTCGTTGCCACAGGTAAATAAAAGAGGCTTCAATTGTGGTTGGTTAAGGTGTTTATGATGATAAAGTTGATGCTAAATAATACGGAATAGCATAAATAGAGACAATCAATCTTATATTTATCATGTTGATGCAGCCTATAGTAGCAGTGCCATCATTTGTGTGTGCCGATGCCTTCAACAAGTTCCTCCCCTTTGCTACTGGCTTTGCGGCTGGGTGCATGATTTGGATGGTTATGGCAGAGGTCCTTCCTGACGGCTTCAAGGTAGCATGTTCCTTAGCATCATACATAATGCATTTTCAAGGGTCTGTTTGCAACCCAGAAAGTTTAGGGGAAAATATGAGATTAGTAGATTACTCAAATGCAATAGTTTTTTGTTTAATTTATTTATTTCTATAAAGACTAAATTTAAAAACATCTACACCAACAAAGAACAATAAGAAGAAGTCAACAACTAAGCCTTATCTCAAGTAACTTGGGTTGGCTACATGAACCAAGAGGAGAATCATGATTCACGTTTGGTCATTCACAAAATGCTCTTTCACCTCACTACCACCATCACCACCACCAACCCAGTAGAATCCCACAAAAGCAGGGTATGGGGAGGGTGTGTGTACGCAAACCTTACCCCTACCAAAAGTAGGGAGTCTGTTTTCAAGAGACCTCTTTCAGCTCACCATTTCTCAATATTCATGGACACTCTTGTCCAAATTCTGATAAGACAATTGCTCCTAATCATATCCTCCCACATCTTTTTGGGTCTCCCTCTTCCTCCTTTGCGAAACTCTTTTCTCCACCCATCATGTCTCTTAACTGGTGCATCTGCATCACAAGGTCTTCTTTGTATGTGTCCAAACCTCCTCAATGGATTTCATTTTTATGTTCTTATCTCTTATTCTATCCATTTGGGTGTGCCCCACACATCCCTCATAAGAAACACATTTCAGGTATATGAGAGCAATCATGAAGGTTTTATCTATGACAATTACACGTTAAATAGCTTCTGTCTTATATATGGTCTCATTGGGTGTGCAATTGTTCATGTGGTATAGAAACTGCAGACTACAGACAGAATATTTTTGTATTAAAATAGGATTATAGGAGACACTTTATTTTAAAGCACATGAAGCAATTAACTAATTAACCCAATAACACATAAGTTTTAAGTTTAGCAGATTATGGATTAATCACAAGGAGAAATAGTAAGCCTTCTCAAAGTGATAAGTTACATTTCATTTTATGTGAGGTTTTTTGACACTTTAATGAGGTTTGGTGTGCAGGAAGCTTCTCCATCTCATGTTGCATCTGCTGCTACACTCTCAGTAGCATTTATGGAAGGTTTAAGCACTGTATTCCAACACTTTGACCACAATTTTAAGTGAGTTTTCCCTCTCTTCTGAAAATTGTATATGTAAACAGAATCCACTCTTGAACTTTGCATAGTATGGACTAAGCCAATATGTTTTATATTTTCTCCTCCCATATTCTTGATTGTAAACTGGCCATTACGGACAGAGTACCATAGAAGCGCATGTACTATCTACAAATGTTCAAATTAGTCTCTGTACTTAAAAGTGAAGCAACATCGTCTAATTTTACTATGGATGGCATAGAAATGTTGTCTTATTGGCATACTGTTTCATTCCTTTTATCTAATTTTAGTCATTATACAGTAAATTATTTTAACTCTATATCTTTCCATAAAAGAAAATGAATAAACAAATGCGTATTGCACTTGGTAAAAAAGGGTTAGGAAAATTACTAAACATTACTTCCCTCATCCCACAATGATAATCTTGTGTTTTATTCCATGTTGATTAATAAGTACCCCCTCTGTCCCACTACTTTTGGGACATGAAGGTGAATTAGAAAATGTAGTATTCTTTGGTTGATATTGATGTTAAAAAGTAATAAGAAGTAATAATGGATGTGAACCACACAAATATGATCAAATATGATATGGAACAAAATAGTGGCGTTAGTGGGACTGGAGGAAGTTGTCAAGTTTGTTGGAGGATTCAATTTTTCGTATGTGATTCTCAGTTTTACCCTCTTTAACTTCAAGTCTTTAACTAATGGAAGTATGGAAAAGTGCAATCTCAGAGTTTTGGTTATGGAAATTTAAGTGTTAAACTTGGAAATGGAAAATTAAATGTACCCCTAATACAGAAAGTAGACTAGCCTTATAAAAGACAAGTATTTTCATTGGTTAATGTGAAAGTCAAAATGGCGCCATATAAATAGGTCTGGAGGGAGCACAGTTAATTAACACTAGTTTTAGATTGGACTTGGGATTAAGGTGCTGTCACTTAACGATTTTAATATATGATTGTTTGGTTTTTCATGTAACAGTAGAGTTATGATATCTTTCATTTGTAAGCTTACACAGATTAATGTAATATTCCTGATTTAACCAAATCGTGTGTTGTCTGCAGTTCAGAGGACACGTCCGGTTTCCTGATCTCTCTACTTTTTGGTCTGGGCCCGCTTCTCGGGGGAGTTTCTCTTGTTGCATTTGCTCTTGCATTTCACCTCCAGCACGCCCTCCTAACCAGTGTATCATCAGGGATTGCCTTTGTCCTTGGTGTCTGGAGGCCATTGCAACTCCTCTTTTCTTCAAAAATGGAGTTTTCATCGCTAATCGCCCTCTTGATGACCGGATTTGCATTTTCCCATTTTTCAACTTCAAGTGTTATAAAACTTGGAGGACACAAAAGGACTTCTGCAAACTCATTATCCGCCGTAACAGGCTTACCTTTAAGCACCCTTACCCTCCAGTCCTTCCTTTGCTGTCTGGCTGTTGCCCTCCACGCCCTTGCCGAGGGACTTGCCCTAGGGGTGGCTGCCCCCAAAGCATATGGCCTCGGAAGGCACATGGTCCTACCCGTCTCCCTCCACGGCCTCCCTAGGGGCGCCGCTGTGGCGAGTTGCATCTTTGGGGCCACCGACAGCTGGCACGGGTCCCTCTTAGCTGCCGGGCTAATCGGGTTCGTGGGTCCCTCGTCGGCGATAGGGGCCATACTCGCCGGCATCGACTACAGCGGCCTCGACCACATCATGATGCTTACGTGTGGGGCCCTGCTCCCGTGTTTTTGGAGCATTGTCAGGAGAGCAGTCAGGCTGGACAAGCAGAAGGCTGTCGTCGGGTTTGTAATCGGAAGCTTCTTCGCGAGTGTTTGCTTAACTTTCACAAAGTTGGTTTGCTTCCACACTCCTTACTGCAACTCTGCCCCAGAGGCTGTGAGATGATCGAACTCTGTCCAGATAAACACATCCCATAACATCTGTTGTACATCATCACATATCAATACACTGACTTTATTATTGGATTTTTTTTAATACCCATAACTTCATGGAAAATATATTAATCAAATTATGTGTATATGTAAAGTGCAATCTTATTATACTAAGACTCTGTTATTTGCGTATAAAGATATATTGTTCATAAACCTGGTGTCTCTCCTTTGCTATTGTTGAATTACCCTTGTCTCAATTTAAGTTACTTGTTTATCATTTACAAAGTTAAATTTTAATCATGTTCTTTACGCATTCGATAAAGTAATACTCGTATAGTCTTGTCAACACTTATTTTGTACGGAGTATATCTTGTGTTATAGTTTTTAAATACATAAATTCTATTTTTTTTATTTCAGACCAATTTTTAAAATTAATTAATTTGAAAATAATTTGAGTCAAATCTTAATTCGGAGATAATAACATGCAATTTATAAATATTGAAGTAGAAGAATCAAAATAAAGAGAAACTAACCAAAAGGACATACTGTGCACATTCAGTGTCCATTCCGGTGGAGATTTCTTATTTACTTATGTCTCCCCCTCTGTTAATGAGCGGTGCATTTACTTGCGAGACTTCTCATTTTATTTCACATTTAATTTAAAAAGTTTGTTTTCGTTAAAAAAAACATATATGCATGAGAAATTGGCCTGCAGGTAAGCGGGTACGTAACCCCACTAGGGAAAAAAACCATCAACACCATGCATAATGTGCCTTGTGGCTCAGAAAGTTTAAGTGAGAGTTGGAAAAGAAATGATATACTTGTCTTATTTCTTCCGTTTCTAAAAGATTGCTACAGTATGACTTATTTGTTCAAACTATGACACCTTTTATCGACGAATTAAATATAGTTTAAAATAATTAAACATTATAAAAATTTAATTTTTCAAAACTATATTTTAAAATAAATCCAACTTTACTAAATATACTTTTTCCATAATTTGCGGTCAAAGGATTCCAGTCAAATTGTGATAATCTTTTCAAAGTCTCCAATGTTGCACTTTGACCTTTAATATCTATATTTATACATAGATATATTTTATGAAAATTTGATATTTAAAAACTACGTATCAATAGAAATGTACTGATATTGACTTCATATCATAATACAATCTATTTTTTTCATATATCAAAGTCAATGTTTATAAACTTTGACTAAGAAAATTAAATAGGAAGAACATTTTCGGACAGAAAAAGCATTAACAAGCACTATAAATAATAAATCCATCCTTTCCCTCACCGCAAACCTTCATCACTTCAACCATAGTATATAGGAGCAAATTAAATTAGAGTTCAAGGCCGACCGTACCATGAAGATGAAGAAGAAGAAGATGACCATTCTCCTTTCTGCAGGAATAATAATGATGTGGGCTTGCTGCAGCTCTGCCGCCGAGGACGCCGCCGCCGAAAACCGGCTGATGACGGAGAGGTTCGAAGAGTGGATGGCCGAGTACGGCCGAGTGTACTCAACCCAAAATGAGAAGTCAAAACGGTTCAGTGCTTTCAGGGACAATGCCATTTTCGTCGATTCCTTCAACAGCGCCGGAGACCAGAATTATACTTTGGGTACTAACAAGTTTGCCGACTTGACTTACGACGAGTTCCGGTCCTCTTGGCTGGGTTACGCGGCGGCGGCGCCGGTTTCCGACGACGGCACGACCACGACGACGGCGCCTTTCCTGTACGAGAACGTCACCGCCCCTGCCGCCGTTGACTGGGTCAAGAAGGGAGCTGTCACTCCTGTCAAGAACCAATCTTCTTGTGGTAATTTACTCCCAGTGGTCTCATCTATCACATCCCTTTTTGGCTTTCTTTATACATATCATGAAACAAACTTCTCAATTCTTTAAAACTAAAATATAATGACTTTCTTAAATTAGGACCATATGTTTTTATTTTCAAATGTATAACCATTGGTCATTATTCAAATGAATATCCACCATCATTAGACATTAATCCTCCCACTAGACATTATTAAGTACTCCCTCCGTCCCAAAAAGATTGGTACATATTGACTTTTTGGGAAATTAAGTGAGGGATATTTTGGTGTTGACTTTCCAAAAATACTCTTGATGTGATGGGTAAAAGTATGATGTAATGGGTAGATTATTAGAAAAAAGGTACGATGTGATAGGTAGGGTATGAAAAAATAAGAGGTAAAAGTGGTTTTTTAATAGAAATGTAATGGACTTTATGGGACGCAGTTTTTTCGAAACGTGTCGGACTTTTTGGGACGGAGGGAGTACTATTTAGGGAATAAAAAAATTTAAGTCTTATATTAGGAAATGACTTATGCTTTAATCATATTTAGTGCAAATTTTCTTAAAAAATTGATACCCATCCACACATTTTGACCCTAAAATCAATTAAATTTTAGAGATGCAATTGAAGAGGTAGAGCGGTGGGTTTCGGGCAAGGCAAACCGGAGGATTTACCGGGATATTAGAAGGGATATGAATTTTACGAACGAAGCATCGTACGGCCTCCGAGTCATCTTATGACATTGTTTAGCACCTGGGAACCGGTCCCTTGTTAAGAATGTTCACTTATTATTTTTTTTTAACAATTTTCTTAATTTTCTTTTAAAGCAAAAAATGTGACAATAGATTAAGAATAGAAGATTTTACCTAAATAGAACTAAAACATAATGACTTTTCAATATATGACCATATGTTTTTATTTTCCAATATAGGATCATTGATCATTATTCATTAGTCATTATTCAAGTAAATGTCCACCATCACTGGATAATATTCATGTCACTAGACATTATTAAGTCTTATTTAAAAAATAAAAAAATTTAGATCTTATATTGGGAAATGAATTATGTTTTAATTCTATTTAGTGCAAATTTTTCTTAAGATTAAAAGGCGAAAGATAAAAATAGAAAAAAATACATTTATGGAAAGACCTATAGTGTTAATAATGCCAAAAATATTCAGTAATGCCAAAATATTATAGAATGTCAATACACAATATCATACTATCACAATGTAATAAACTTATTTTCTGATAAAAAAAATACTCCTTCCGTCCAACATAAATCTTTCCAATAGCCTTTTTTCTATATCCACAATAGATCTTCTCATTTCATTTTTTAACAATTAAAATACCACAACTATCCCACTTACTTTATTTATTACACCTCACCCACCTCATTTAATACACTCCACTCATTTTCATTAAGAGTATTATGGTAAACTTTCACATTTTTTCAACTTTTCTTAAAAATCACCAAAAGTCAAAATGAGAACATCTTAGGGAGACGGAGGGAGTATGCAATTTTTGTTTTTGACCATCTCTTTAATTATCAAACTTTAATGCAGGTTGTTGTTGGGCATTCTCAGCCGTGGCCGCGGTGGAGGGAATCACCAAGATATCCACCGGAAAACTCATCTCCCTGTCGGAGCAACAGCTGGTGGACTGCAACACCAAAAACCACGGCTGCAACGGCGGAACAATGGAAGCTGCATTCAATTACATCGCGGGCAACAAAGGCATCGCCAAAGAGACCAACTACCCATACACCAAAGTGCAGAGAACCTGCCGCCGGAACAAGGCCGCCGCGGCGGCGGCCAGGATCGGCGGGTTCCGGCAGGTTCCCCCGAACAACGAGGCTGTACTGGCCAAGGCGGTGTCGCGGCAGCCGGTGTCGGTGTGCATTGACGCCGGCAAGGCCATGCAGCTGTACAAAGGCGGCATCTTTAGCTCCGGCTGCACGGCGAAGATAAACCACGGCGTGACGGCGGTGGGGTACGTCGCGGACCCAGCCGGGAAAAAGTTCTGGTTGATTAAAAATTCGTGGGGACAGGATTGGGGAGAGAAGGGATACGTGCGGTTGTTGAGGGATTCCGGTGCACCGGAAGGACTTTGCGGCGTTGCCACCCAATCTTCTTTCCCTACTCCTCCAAAATACTCCCGTCCTAAAATTAACTTCTCATTTGACTTTTCACGGTTTCCAATGTGACACTTTGACCATCAATAGCTCAATTTTAATATAAATATATTTTATAAAAATTATATATTTCAAAACTATATTCCAAAATGAATCTATTCCTAATAAATTTATATGAAAATTCAATGTATTTTTTTCCCTTAATTTACGGTCAAAGTTTAAAAAGTTTGACTGCAAAAGTCAAACTAGAAAATTAATTTTAGGACGGAAGGAGTAGTACACATCCAAGCCATGATGATAATTTAAATAGAACTCAAATTGTCAACAAAAATGTTGGGAGACACCAAGAGTTTGACATCATCTCTTATGTGGAGTATTTATTTCTTTGTAGGAACTTGATGTCAACATAATACGTAGTATTTGGTGTCCTATAGCACAACTCGATCAATGCTCAAATTATGAGTATTTCTTTCACTTATATTTCATGTCTCTAATTTGACAACTATTTTGATTATTAATATCTTATTTGTGTAAAGATATACTACCTCCGTCCCAGATTATTTGTCCATTTTCATTTTTACACACCATCCAATACACTTCTTTAATCCATTTTATCTTGTAATTTGTATATTAAAAAATATAGAAATTATATATTAATAATCTATATGTTAAGACAAATCAAACAAGATCACACATGACTATATTTAGGCTTACATATTGAGAGAATTTGATGAGTCAAAGTGCTTAGATGAACAGTTCCAAAAGTCAAAAGTGGACGAATACTCCGGGACAGAGGGAGTATAACATTACAGGATATATATACTCTTATGCATGTTAGTTATGTACCTATTTTGATTACATATTGTAGAAAAGAAGGAAAAATTTCAAGTTTTTTTAAATTCATTTGATTTAAAGATTGAGACATAATAAATAAAAAATAAAATTTATATATTTAAAAAACTATATCAAAAGTTTTACAAAATAAGAGGTGATAAGAAAATTTTATTTTATCAAACAATCAATGAAAATAGATAAATGAGCAAAAGTTATCGTGATTTTAGAAAAGTTACATTATAATCAATTGTGAGACGACGGAGGAAGTATTATTATATACCCCGGAGTAAAGAACAATATCCTAAATACCGCTTAAAGGCAATAAAAATACCAAAATAATATAATACTCCCTCTGTTTGCAAAAAGACTTCCCATTTTGATTTGAAGCAAAAATAAGGAAGTGTTAAATTATAGTTGATTTCCAATTTTGCCCCTGATGTAATGGGTAAAAGTAAGATGTGATGGATAGATTATTAGAAAAAAAATATGATGTGATAGGTAGGGTATGAATGAAAAAGTAAGGGTAAAAGTAGTTTTTTAATAGAAAGAGGAAGTGTTTTGTTGGAAGTGGAAAAAATGAAAGAGGAAGTGTTTTTTAGAACGGAGGGAGTATATTTTTTTGTGATTGCAATTAGAGTTAGGAAAAAATCCTAGACATGAGTACAAAAGTATGAAAATACCAAAATAACAGTCATAAGTCTTTTAAGATCAAAATAGAAGTTCACACTGTCACACTCACCACATTGTTACATTGTAAATGTCACACTACCATTCGTCACCACCGGCCACCTGAGTGCTGCCGTGGATCACCGACGGTTGACTGATCACACTCACATATTACAATGTCATCACTTTTTCATCACACTACCAACACGTATTCTTACAATGCACTGTCATTATACTCTTAATTAGGTCTGTAAAAAATATGGTGTCAAAAATATTATATTCTAATTATGATTCATCTATCATACATACGCATTGTATCATACTTTACTATAAAGTTAGAAAATAACATTAAAATTGTTTTCCCTCGGTTTCAAAAAGATGTTCATACGGAGTATTTCATTTTTTGCGTATCTCATAAAACATTTCTACCAACATCTATAATGTTTATAGTTCACTGTACTTCTACTTAATTGCGGGTAAAAGTTGTTTTGAAATTTTTTTAAACATTTGAGTTGAAGTAGAAATGTTGTATGAGTTGTGCAAAAAATGATCAAAACAAACAGGAGCATGTTTTTGTGACCGAGGAAGTACAATTTTAATTAGGATGTGTCATTTTTCTTTTTTGAAAAATGTTATGAAACCATATATGCATATATTCCCTCCGTCCCATAAAGTGTTACCCATTCTGACTAAAGTATAAATTAAGGGAGAGATAATTTTGTGTTGACTTTTCAAAAATACCCTTGATGTGATGGGCAAAATTAGGATGTGATGTGTAGATTATTAGGAAAAAGGTATGATGTGATAGGTAGGGTTTGAAAAAGTAAGGGGTAAAAGTGATTTTTTAATAGAAATAAGTAGGAGATTGTGGAACACAATTTTTTTAAAAGGTGTAAATTTTTTTGGGACGAAGGGAGTATAATGGATGACATATTGGCCTGGAGGTAAACGCGTACGTAACCCCAATAGAGTATAATAACCAACCATCGACAACATGCATAATGTGCCTTCTTGTTCATAAAGTTTCAAGAGTGCGTGGGAGTTGGAAAAAGATATACTCTCCAACCCAATTTATTTTGCCACTTTGATTAAAGAAAACGAGAAAAAAATATTTTTCTGGTTTGTTTAAAGAGGAAAAAAAAGAAAAATGGAAAGAAAAGAAAATGAAAAAACAAAATATACTCCCTCCGTCCCAATTTAAATCGCCTGTTTTGATTTTTGGGCCTATTTAAGGAAAATAAAAAATAGAGTTGATTTTTCGAAATTGACATTACTTTTTAGGAGGGGTGAAGATGAATGAGAAGATAAGGGGAAGAAGAGTGACTTATTTTAGGGGTAGTTTAGGTATTTTATTTTTAAAAGTTTACGAAAACAACTAACAGTCAACTTATTTTGGGACGGAGAAAAAAAGGCAAACAGACAATTTAAAATGGGACGGAGGGAGTACTAAAAGGAGGGGAAATCAAATTCCTCCCATTTCGTTGAAGAGAAAAGCTAGTGGAGAAAAATCATTTTTTTTTTTCAAATTTCTTAAACCAAACATAGTGCTAAAAAAAAATCCATAATACGGAGTAGCTGGTTGGATGGCTGGTCCTCGTTTAAAATCATTGATATGAACATGCAGTATAAATCCATTGATCCTTTCCCCTCTCCCAAATATGAGTTCAAGCAAGGCCGACCATGAAGAAGAACATGATGATGACGACCTTTCTCCTTTCTGCCGGAACATTAATAATAATGATGTGGGCTTGCTGCGGCTCTGCCGCCGAGGACGCCGCCGCCGAAAACCGGCTGATGGCGGAGAGGTTCGAGGAGTGGATCGCCGAGTACGGCCGAGTGTACTCAACCCAGAATGAGAAGTCAAAACGGTTCAGCGCGTTCAGGGACAATGCCATGTTTGTTGACTCCTTCAATAGGGCCGGAGATCATCAGAATTATACTTTGGGTACTAACAAGTTTGCCGACTTGACTTACGACGAGTTCCGGTCCTCTTATTTGGGTTACGCGGCGGCGGCGCCGGTTCCCGACGACGGTACGACCACGACGACGGCACCTTTCCTGTACGAGAACGTCACCGCCCCTGCCGCCGTTGACTGGGTCAAGAAGGGAGCTGTCACTCCTGCCAAGAACCAAGCTTCTTGTGGTATTTAATTAATTAAATACTGCTCACTCTTGTTCTAAAAATATTTCTTGTTTCAAAACACAAAAAATTGTTAAGAACGGAGGAGGCCTTATTCGCTCCATCGTACGTCCATTATAGCTGCAAAATTATTTTACATTAAGATTTTTAATGTTTTATTAGGGAATGAAATTAATAGTTCACATTAATTATCTATCTTCAACCTACTTCTTAAATTCTACAGTATATTCTTCTCTCCTTCCCTAATATTCTTTACCTTCTCAAAAGAATCAATATTTTGATAATTAATACTCCCTCCGTTCTCAAAAACACTTCCTCTTTTATTTTTTTCACTTCCAACAAAACACTTCCACTTTCTATTAAAAAACCATTTTTATCCTTACTTTTTCATACCATATCTATCACATCATACTTTATCTCTAATAATCTATCCATCACATCTTACTTTTACCTATCACATCAAGGGCAACATTCTACTTTATTAAAAATCATGCCTAGGCAAACATGGGAGATAATTCCGAGACGGATGGAGTATTATTTATTCAATGTGAATGTGGAGTATAAAAATGAATTTCGTAGATATTTTTCTAAACAAATATTTTATTATTAGTATTACAATGCAATTTTTGTTCAAATGCAAATCAATTTGTATCTAATTTGGTTGGAAAAAAAATAAAATGTACAAGCACTTTAAGATTGAAAACATATATACTACTTCATAAAATATGAGTAAATTCACTCTTTTGTCATGGATCACCAAGTAAAATTTACTCTCTTTCATCTTAAATCTTTCTTTCTTTTTGACTTTTGTTGTCAATATTTTTAAATTGTGATCACAAATTACGATAAAATACATTAAATTGTATTTCTTCCGTCCCTAAATATTTGTCACACTTGTATTCCCGAGGTAAAATATCAAGCTTTTTCAATTCATTTTATTTACATATTGGTATAGAAACAAATAATAGAATTTACATATCAAAAAACTACATGAAAAGTTTTTCGAAATAAGAGGTGTTAAAAATATTTTATTTTATCAAATAACCAATGAAAACGTAGAGATAAACAAAAGATTCCACGACTGCTGAAAAAGCAAATGTTGCAAATATTTAGGGACGGAGGTAGTAATATATATAATTTCATATAAATAGATTTATTTTAAGATATAGTTTTGAAATAATTAATTTAGAAATGGACGCCTAAAATGCAATGTGAGATCAACAAAAAAATGCAGGTAGTTGTTGGGCATTCTCATCGGTGGCGGCGGTGGAGGGAATCACCAAGATCTCCACCGGAAAACTGATCTCCCTGTCGGAGCAACAGCTGGTGGACTGCGACGCCAAAAACCACGGCTGCAACGGCGGATTGATGACCGCCGCATTCCATTACATCGCCACTAACAAAGGCATCACCACCGACGCCAACTACCCATACACCAAAGTGAAGGGGACCTGCCAGCAGAACAAGGCGGCGGCGGCGGCGGCCAAGATCGGCGGGTTCCAGCGCGTTCCCCGGAACGACGAGGCCGCGCTGGCCCAGGCGGTGTCGCAGCAGCCGGTGTCGGTGTGCGTCGACGCCAGCAAGAACATGCAGCTGTACAAAGGCGGGATCTTTACTTCCGGCTGCACTACGAAGATAAACCACGGCGTCACGGCGGTGGGGTACGGCGTCGACGCCGACGGGAGGAAGTTCTGGCTGATAAAGAATTCGTGGGGAAAAGACTGGGGAGAGAATGGATACGTGCGGTTGTTGAGGGATTCCGGTGTACGGCAAGGACTTTGTGGGGTCACCACCCAATCTTCTTTTCCGACTCCTCCAAAATAGTGCTTGTACACATGCATGAATGAAGCCATGATCATAATTAAGATCTCAATACTTAAATTTTACATACAATATTATCGTGCATTTATACTTTATTATTATTATTATTATTATTATTATTATTATTATTATTATTATTATTATTATTATTATAGATATTCCTGGTTAATAAAGTGAACAAATTATACCACCCGTTGCCCCTTAGAGATCTCCAATGCATTGGGTATATTGTAAAATATACACTTTTTACACTTTATTTTTCATTTTATCTCACTCCAAGAGATAGTGTAAATGTGATGATAAAATGCACTATAGTGCAAAAAGCAACCCACACCTCCTATTTCTACAAGTTACTGTAGATAGGGAAAATAGTTTTTAAAATTATTTTGTGACCCCTTTTTATCTCTCGCCACTTTCTCCCCCTCCTCTCTTTATCATTTATTTCTGCTGTCTTCTTCAATACAAAATCACCGGTGCTGCTGTGCTCATTCCCTTTCTCAGGTAAATTGCTGGAATTTATATTAATTGTGTTGATGGCTAATTATTTTAAAGTGATGCCATTCCGATTCTTCCTCCATTTTTAAGTGAAACCTAGGTTTAAATGGATTGTTTCTTTCTTTGATTCAGAAACAAATTTGGCTTTAATGGTTACTATATTGAAAGGAACAGTAGGTGTGTAGCCTTAATTTGGAAATTAAATTCATATTAAGCCTACTTCCGAATATTTGTCCAATTTTGATTTAAGATCAAAGTTTACCAATTTTACCAAAAAAATTAAAAATGAACAACTAATTATTTAGATATTTACTTTTAAATAATATTATGAAATTTTTAACAATAGATTAATTAGATTATACAAAAAAAATTAATTCGATTTTACACATATTAAAGGTGATTATAAAAATAAAATGCTCTGATTATAAATAATAATTATTATGCATAAATAACTCAAAATAATAAAATATTACAAAAGTGTATAATATAAAAGATATGGTTGGAGTAGTATAAAAAAGTAGATGTGTAAAACACTGTTGATAGTGTAAAATTGCATTTACACTACCAACTTTTACACTATCCCTTGAAGATGCTCTGAGCATCTCCGGTAGAGGCTATATGCTAAAAGAGAAATTTATCTAAATAGGACTAAAACATAATGACTTTCTCAATATAGGACCATATGTTTTTATTTCCCAATGTAGGACCTTTGGTCATTATAAAGTAGTCATTATTCAAGTAAATGTCCATCATTACTGGCATTATTTCTCCCACTAGGTCATTATTAAATCTTATTTAGGGAATAAAAAAGTTTAAATCTTACATTGGGAAAGTCATTATGTTTTAGTTCTATTTAGTGCAAATTTCACATGCTAAAATTTACACAATTTACATTTTGTGGTTAATTTTTTGACACTCCAAGGGAGAGGGTAAAACAAATGCTAAAATACAATATAAGGTAAAATACAATTGGCAAAGTGTATATATACAAGCTGGTTGTAGATAGGGACATGAATAAATGTGTAGTAGAGACTATATTATACAAAACATGATTGGAGTAGGTATTAAAAAGTGGAAGTGTAAAATACTATTGATAGTGTAAAATGAAATTTACACTACCAACTTTTACACTATACATCTAGAGATGCTCTTATCTCCTATCCACTTTACACTATCCACAACCACTCCCCAACCTGTGTCATTCGCCCTTGCCGCTTCCCCCTCTACCTGAGCCTACGTGTCCACTTCAAGCCACCCGCCTCCATCTTGCTAAGATCACTGGAAATACCCATGAAGCTCCGGGGCTTCAAATCGGGGCTTCAAACCTTCTCTCTTTGCCACGTCAGCTTTAACTTAACTCACAGTTTCACTGGAAATGGGTTTGAAGCCCCATGGTCTCAAACTGGGGCTTCAAACCTTCATTTTTTGCATTTTAAATACACATCTTCAAAAATTAAATTCATTAAATTTAAATATTTAATTATTTAAAAGAATTGAAACGAGAATAGTTCATTAAAAAAATTGTATTCATTATAAAAAATTACATTCATTAAATAAAAAAATTACATTCATTAAATAAAAAAATTACATTCATTATAAAAAACTACATTCATTAAATAAAAAAATTATATTCATTAAATAAAAAATTACATTTATGAAAAAATAAAAAAATAGTTGAATAATAATTTTTTAAAAAAAGATGATAGAGAAATTTGTATTTGTGTTGAATTTTTTAAAAAAATTAATTTAATTTATAGAGAAGAAAAGAGGAAAAAAGAAGGAGAAAAAAAGAAGAAAGAGGCGCTATCACGCCTTTAAATTGCGTCAAAAGTATGATGCGGGGGTTTTAACGCCCCGATAACGGGGGAGGGGGCGGTGTTTAACGCCCCCAGGCGTCAAAGTCAGTTTAACGTGGTAGGGCGTTACGCCCATTAGCACTGCCCTAAAATAGTTTAAAATTATTTTTAAAACTTTTATTAAATATCAGTTTTGAAAACTTAACAATTAATTTTTTTTAAGAAACATAATTTCTTTTCTACCAACCAACGGAAAATGTGGGAGGAAATAATTTTTCTTAGAAATCTTTTTCTCGAGGATCACATTCTTCTTGAAAAATATTTATCTCCTAATTAACTAATGGAAAAACTGACAAGAATAATTCAAGAAATTTGTGAGTTTACGTTAAAACTCTGAAATTAAATAAATTAGATCACTGCTCCAAGAAATTGCTCAAATGTATACTAATACTCCAGGCTACCAACTAAGCAGAATATGTCAAATTTTAAATAGTGAATCTAAAGTGTTAATTAAATATGTCTTGGTAGCTACAAAGTGATAAAAATATTAAGAAAAATAATGTTTCAGATAAAATAAAGAATTTTGAAGTCAATAATTCATAATCAAATTATTTATATGCGTTGGAAAAAGCTTTATAATGTAAAGTCAAAACTTTATCCATTTTAAAATTTTATAAATTTTTTCATCCCAATCACTGTTCATAATTTATCCGATTTAAATAAAAACACTTTATTTTTTAGTTTTAGCATATTTTTATTTTAAATCGACATGGAGGGGTTTACTATAATGCATCTAAGGTGTTTTCTTTTTTTTGTAATTAATTACCAACTCATACTTATAATTATTCAGTCACTATTTAAAATGTCACTCATTCAGCTTAGTTGGCAACCTGGAGTATTGGTGTAAAATTGAGTAATTTCTGGGAGCAGATATTTTAATTATTCAATATCAGAGGATCAACGTAAAAAGACATATTTCTTGGAGTATTCATGTGATTTTTTCCTAAATTAATTTAAGTGCTCCGCCTCCCATTTCTCTTCTGAACTAAGGATATAATTAAAAAATTAACTTTAAAATACACTTCCTTTAAATTTTCCAATAAACAATATTCCCCGGTCCCAAAAAAAATGTCACAGTTACTATTTTGGTCTCTCGATAACTTTTGTTTATTTACTCGTTTTGGTTGATCATTTGATAAAATAAAATATTTTTATCGCATTTTGTTTTGTAAAACTTTTGATATGTATTTTTGAACGGTGTAATTTTTTCTTTTCATTTCCATAGCTATCCATTTGTAGATGAAATAAATTTTAAAAGAAATGATATATTATACGTTGTTCCAAATGTTCTAAATAATTTAGGACCAAAGACTAGTAAAACTATTTTACCAAATGTCGAGAGTATTTTTTTTAGTGGAGCATTTAAATGAAATGTACTTCTTGAACTTCTCCCCTGGCTTGAGTGGTAGCAAGCTCACTCCCCAGGATTCATGAGGAAGTTCACCCAGGTTCGAGCCCCAGCGAAGGCAGCAACATTGGCTCTTTGTGCGTCATTAGTCATTAGCTTGAGAATAGTATGAACAGATACTACATTGTAATAAAGTCAATAGCATTCAAAAAAATGAAATGTACTTCGGAGTAATTTAAAATGGCCGGGTAAAGTTACCCCACTTGCACCTATGTGTGTAATGGGTTTTCGGGGAATTGAATCGGATCGGTTTGGTTTCAAGCTTATTCGCTGGTCTGGCCTTACATTGAAGATTCAAAACAATTCAAGGAGAATGCATGCATGACATATTGGCTTGCGGGTAGGCGTGTACGTAACTACACCATGAAAATAAAAAGGAAAAAAAATATACTAAATATTTGTCCAATTTGACTTTTTCAAATCAAATTGATCGAACATTATTAAACATCAAGTACTTTAAATTTTATAGCATATTAATATAATGAAATAAACTTTAAAAATTCTCTACAAAATAATTTTTTATATTCATCATATACTTTACCATTTTTGTATAATTAAAATTCAAAGTTCTTTTAACTTAATTAAAAAATTTAAACGGAACGAATACACTGGAGGAGGAGAGGTAGTACGAATAAATGAATAAAACCCTTGAAAAAACATGCATAATGTGCCTGCAGATTTAGGAAGTTGATTAGTTTCAAAAGCCTCGGTGCTTAGCTTATTCAACTTCGTATATCATTCTCTTGTTTTTATTGTTGAGACCCATATTCAATAAAAAAAAAATTGTGATATATTGTCTAAAGTATACACTCTCCATCCAAAAAAAGTGGTTTCTCTTTCGAAATTAAACATTCATTTTAAATCTTATTTTTTTCAAGTGGAAAATTGTTTTAAGAGACGGAAAGATTACAACAAATAGGGAATGAATCTTGTTGACAAGAATGCGTGACAAAGTCATTTGTGGAACTTGACATTTTAAACTAAGGGGCTGTTTGTTTCAGCCTCTTAATGGTTCAGATGTCTGAATGGTTCAGCACTTAATGGTTCAGACTGTTTGTTTCAGCCTCTTAATGGTTTAGATGTCTGAATGGTTCAGACATTTGCCTCTGAATGGTTAAGTATTATACAGAGTCTGAATGGTTAAGACCTTTTATCTGAATTGATCAGACATTTGCCTCTGAATAGTTAAGCAATATACTAGCTCTTAATGGTTCAGACCTCTTACTGGTCAGCACTTAATGGTTCAGACCTCTTACTGGTTCAGCACTTACCTATTCAGAAGTTGCCAAACAGCCCCTAAGAGTAGTGCTAGAGACATTCCAAGATTTTGACACCAAATACACATCAAGTCCAATACAGACACACTCAGATATTTAATGTCTGCTCGTAACATTAAATATTTTTATGTATCAGCATGGATGTGTATTTGGTGTCAAATGTTGGGGGTGCCCCTAGCATTTTTGTTAAACTCATTTCTAAAAACTGATATTTTTAGGAAGTGAACAATTATAACTCGGTGCAGTAGTATTCAAAAATTATGTTACAAATTTTCTCCCATCTCAAAGTATTTAGCCAGTTTGGGATTTTTTTTAGTTTAATTAATTCAATATATTTAAAAATTGCTCTAAAAATAAAAAATTTAGTTTTTTATTCAAATACTATATTAAAAATTCTACTAAATAATACCCCTCCGTCCGTTTTATTTAATTTGTTCTCATTTGATTTTTTGTGATCTCTAATTCAACTTTTTGACCAATTTAATAATATCTTTATTTATATAAAGATATACTTCATATTTTATAAAAATTTGATACTTCAGAACTATATTTCAATTAACCTATTGATATTAAATTTATGCCATAATTTATTACATTTTTTCGGAAACTTATGATCAAAGTTTTAAAATAATGTTCATAAAACAATTCAATAAAAAAATTTAGACTTGTGATTGTTGTTCAGAAAAAGTTTGTATACCCTAGTCTGCCCCCCTCACATGCAGTCATATAGGTATAACCACTTTGAATCTTACATGGGAAACTTTAATTTTTTTAAGGTGAGGTCTAGACATGTGATCTCTTAGCTTGATCATCATGTTAAATAATCAACTTAACTAAAAATCTTGGCCGATGAGAATGTGGGGAAAAGTTCCTTCATCCGTCCCATAAAACTTTCAAAGCTGAAAAAAGGCACATACTCCGTATTTAAAATGTCCTCCCTCGATTTTTTCAAAACGCTTCTTCTTTAATTTTTTTTCTCTTTTTCCAAAATACCTCCCTTTTCTATTAAAATTACTTTTATCCTTATTTTTTCTTACCTTGTTTATCACATCATATTTTTTCATTAATAATCTACCATGACATTTTACTTTTACATATCTCATCAAGGACAAAATTAAAAAGTCAACTCCAACTAACCTTCCTCATTTTTTCCCAAAGTCAATACATGTGTTTATAGAAACATGGGGAGTAATATGATATTATATGAGGTATAGAATATATGAATCATAATTAAAAAATTATCCTCCGTATCCAAATTATACATTTTTAGGGTGCATCATTCTTCAACATTGAAAAATTTTACTCCATCTGTCTCACAAAACATTACTCATTTTGAATAGTATTTGGTTAAACAGTTACACGCTTTGACTACAATATAATTTGTGATAAAAGTATATTGAATTATAATATAAATTTAATATAATTGAATTCATCTTAGGATCTAGTTTTGATATATCAAATTTTACTGACATTTTTTTATTCAGATTATTTTCAATTTATGATCAAAACGTGTAACTGTTTGACCAAAAATACATCAAAATGGGTAATTTTTGTGGGGAGGGAGTATGAGACATAGAAACTACTCCGTATAATTTTACCATTTCAATAGCAATTCAGGCTTTTTATTTGAGTTATTTATTTAAATAGGACTAAAATATAATGACTTTCCCAATATAGGACCATATATTTTTATTTTCTAATGTAGGACCTTTGGTCATTATCAAATAGTCATTATTCAACTAAATGTTCATCATTATTGGACCTTATTCCTCTCACTAAGTCATTATTAAGTCCTATTTAGGGAATAAAAAAGTTTAAGTCCTATTTAGTGCAAATTTCACTTTTTATTTCACGAGGTGAAAAAAATGAACAAATAAATATGGACGAGGGAATAAATTAATCTCAGCCAATATTAATGAGCAATGCTAGGGGTACACTAAAAGTGTACCCCATTTGTCCCTCACTCTTTTCTCCACCACTCAATTTGATTTTATTTTTATTTATTTAATTTGTTTTTAGTCTCTTGCCCTTTTTTTGTGGTGATGGAGGGGTGGGGGACAAATGGGGTACACCAAACCCTAGCATTTTTCAATATTAATAGAGTACAGTACTACTATATATCCATTCACTCTCCTTCTTCTTCCCAAACGTAACCTGCACTTTAATCCAATTCAATCACAAATATATATATATATATATATATATATAGAGTAGAAAGCAAAGAAAGACTGGAAAAAAAGTAACGATGAACTCAATTAGATGGAACAACAAGAACATTAGTACTGTTCTTGCAGCCATTATTACGGTGTGGGCATCCGCCGCCGCCGGAGCTCGCCGGAGCTCGGCCGTCGACGACGGCGAGATGATAAAGAGGTACGAGCAGTGGATGGAGCAGTACGGGCGGGCGTATTCAAACGAGACCGAGAAAACACAGCGGTTCAGTGTGTTCAGAGACAATGCGATTTTCATAGATTCTTTCAACCGGGCCGGAAATCATTCGTACACTCTGGCTATCAACGAGTTCGCCGACTTAACTAACGACGAGTTTCGGTCCTCCCGGATGGGTTACGTGCCGCCGCCGCCGCCCGTTGCCGGTAATGCGACGGCGATGCCTTTCATTTATGAAAACGTCACCGACCCTCCGCCCGCGGTGGACTGGATTAAGCACGGCGCAGTTACTCCCATCAAGAACCAAGAACAGTGTGGTAATTAATACTCCAGCCATCCTAATTTAAATCCACCGAATTTAGTTTCAATATAATTTATTAAAAAATTACGTTAAAAATTCTACAAAACAAAAGGAGATATCATATATCCCGTATTATTTTACGAGTATCAAATTAATAATGAAACTAAGAATAGAAAGTAAAAGAAGTTTAACTCTATACACATGCAACTTAATTTTGGAAGGAGAGTGTAATTAAGGCATCGTTAGATCATATCCAATAAGTTTTCTCCATCACATCAGATCACATGAAACTAAATCGAGGTGCTTCTATGGTGCACCTTAGGTGCTTATCATTTTTGTAGACCTTCTCACATAAAAAAATTATTTTTTTTATGTTTTTATTAAAAAAGATATGTTTATTTAAGTAATAAAGAAATGTTTATTTCACTAATGTGTAGGTCCTTGATGAACTTTATGTTCACCATAGAATTTGCCTTAAATCAAATCATATAAGAACAAATCAGATAAAATGTTTTTAGATTCAATTAGATAAATCAAGAAGAAATTGAAAAATAATGCTAATATTTTTTCTACTATTATATACTCACTCTGTCTTGATATTTTCTTTTCAGTCACTATTCATATTATCAAACTTTAATCACTTTTTTTATATATTCTTGCTAGTTATTTGATAAAATAATTAGTCATCTCACCTCTTGTTTTGCTTTGTAAAACTTTTGATATAGTTTTTAAATATATAGTTTTCATTATTTAATTTTACACCTATAATCAAATAAATTGAATTGAAAATAATTTCAGTCAAACATCGTAAACCGAACTGGGAAGAAAATTTTAAAACAAAGGGAATACTAATTATTACACAATTAATTTATGTTAGATTATTTAGTGTTGCATATAATTTACTAATAACTACTATTATAAAATTATATACATTTAAATAATAATAATGTTACACATAATTGAATAATATTTATCACGGAGTATTATTATTATTTTGAAACAAAATAGAATAAATTATATAAAGAGAAGCAACAATGAATTTAAGTGGTGAACGAACCCACTCTCATATGCTCTAGGGTGAATGAGAAGCTCGCGCTAACAGATGCCTTGTCTCATTAGCAGAGCGGAAAACAAATCGAAAAGAAAAATCTCTGCTACAAATAGCTAAGAGATTTTTACAATCTCCAATGAGTTAAAATAGGACCAGTCATTGTGTTACACTTCATTGCACCTGTCACTACTTTACGATCCGTTTTAAGGATAACTTTCTCGCAACCATTAGAGCAGTGGTACTACTAATAACGCCGAGCGGCATTATTGGCATTTTCACGTCTGGGGGCGTCAAACACCGCCCCCCTCCCCCGTTATCCGGGCGTTAGAACTCCCGCGTCATAGTTTTGACGCAATTTGAAGGCGTGATAACGCCTCTTCCTTCTTTTTTCTCCTTCTTTTTTCCTCTTTTCTTCTCTATAAATTAAATTAATTTCTTTTAAAATTCAACACAAATACAAATTTCTTCGGGGCTTCAAACCCATTTCAAGTGAAATTGTGAATTAAGTTAAAGCTGACGTGGCAGAGAGTTGGTTTGAAGCCCCGGGGCTTCATGGGTATTTCCAGTGCCCTTAGTCTTGGTCCAATCTAATGCTTCCTTCATTACCATTGCTTCACCTTCCCTTGGACCATAGCTACCCGTAACTGATTGATTCCTTGCGGCCACGAGTAACCTTTCATCATTATGAGCGACAAAGCTCATTTCAATAAGAGCATCGATCTACAAGTCCCATTGAGGCATCCACATTAATTTTGGGCATTCCCATTTACGCAACTCCAAAGGAGCAATGCTTCTTGGAGCCTGTGAATTAATGTTATCTCAACACTCATTAAAGTGGCTGTTAGAGTTTATCTCACATCGGAAGTTGAATAGAAAAGTAATCTGTATATATGTTCTTGAGTTGAACTAATTAATCAACTAGATTCAATCTTTTAATGTGATTCAACTCAAATGTCTTATTACCCAATCTAGTTATTTTTATCCAATCCTACACTCTATCATGGTATCGGAGCCAATTTTAGCTCACCTCATTTGTCAAGGTGTTTGTCTAGACGTTCATTCCTAATGGCTCATTTGTCTTTAACCCAGTTATCCGTATGGAATATGTACTCAACGACATGTGGCTCGTTCAACCCGATTGCTTGAAGGGAGTGGCGGGTGTGTTCGGGTCAGGGCAGGATGAGAGGTTTTACCGAGGGGTTAGGGGGGTAGGAACGGTCAATTTTACGAACGGGACACCGGAGAACCCCCGGGTCATCCCATGAAATTAATTCTCTCAATGTCATGGGAACTTACCCCGATAAGATATTGTGTTGGTCTGTTGGAGAACAACTTTTGAGCTTACCCCGAAAGTAATCTTTTTGAAAAATATGCAGGGTGTTGTCGGGCATTCTCAACATAAAAGGTGAAGGCCCTGAGCTTTATTAACATAAAAGTGTTAAGGGCAAAATTAGAATAATACCTTTTTTAATGGTCTTTTATAGAAAAACAAATAAAATGTTACCTCCCGGTCTTTACAGTAAAATATTACTCTCTCCGTTCCTTTAAACCCTTCCCATTTTGACTTTAGGCCAAAATAAAAAATTATAATTTTGGTCGACTTTCCAATTTTGCTCCGGATGTGATGAGTAAAAGTAAGATGTTAGTGAAAAAGTATGATGTGATAGGTAGAGTATGAAAAAATAAGAATAAAAGTGATTTTTTAATAGAAAATAGAAGTGTTAAGGATAAGAATTTTATGGAAGGGAGAGAATAGAACTTTTGATGTCTTTTTTATAACAGAGGAACATGCTAAGCGAACTCGCATTAACCGAAAGTAATCTTTTTGAAAAATATGCAGGGTGTTGTTGGGCGTTCTCAACCGTGGCAGCGACGGAGGGAATCACAAAGCTTACCACCGGAAAGCTGATATCCTTATCGGAGCAACAGCTGGTGGACTGCGACAGGATAAGCCACGGGTGCGACGGGGGGTGGATGGAGGCCGGCTTCAAGTACATCACCGAGAACAGGGGCATAACCACCGAGGCCAACTACCCCTACACCAAGATGCAGGGCCCCTGCCAGCAGAGCAAGGCCTCCGCCGCCGCGGCCAGGCTCGGCGGCTTCCAGATCGTTCCCAAGAACAGCGAGGCGGAGCTCCTGAAGGCGGTGTCGCGGCAGCCGGTGTCCGTCTCGATCGACGCCGCCGGGCAGCCGATGCAGTTCTACGCCGGCGGGGTCTTCGCCGCCCAGTGCTCGACGCTGATCAACCACGCCGTGACCGCCGTCGGGTACGGGACGGACCCCAGCGGGATGAAGTACTGGCTGCTCAAGAACTCCTGGGGACCCACTTGGGGAGAGCGGGGGTTCCTGAGACTGTTGAGGGACTCCGGTGTGCCGGAGGGACAGTGTGGGGTCGCCACCCAATCTTCTTTCCCTCTTCCTCCTCCTAAGTAATTGTTAAATTAACAAACAAACAAACATGGGATGAAGCATTTGTTGTTATGATAATGAAAATAAATAAACCAAATTAAACCAGCTGATGTATTACTTATGAGTATATATGTTTATTAGAAGTCTTTTTAACTATTCCTTTCGTTTCATATATATATATATATATATTAACTGTTTAATAAAACATTCTTGATACATTGAAAAATAAATGAATATAGACATAGAATCTGCCTACATTCACTCAACTACAAGATAAGAATGGATGAGCAAAAAATATATAGTTTCTGCCAAGGTTTGCTGGTTTCATTTAAGCTAATGGACCCTCTACCTGCTAATATTTGTTAGGGTTTGTTTATTATAATATAAAGTTGCAAAGAGATAAGTTTTGATTATCTAGTTTCACACTTTGTTTTTCTTTTTTTGTTGTTCAATAAAATATTTTTCTGTATATATACATATGTGTGTATGTCATACAGGTCAGTCTTTATTACTTTCTTTTGGTTCTTTGCTGCTTTTGTGGTTTAGTTTCAAATCTAAGAGAGAAACAATAGTTTTACTCATTAATATAATATCATTACCCAAATTACTATGATTCCAATGGTGTTTTTATTATACTTGTTTGGGTGGATAGTGCTAACAAACATGTCATTACAAATTAAAGGCTTTTGTCCAAATTCACTGCCATTGACCCCTCTCACAGCTAGTGTTATATTCTGTACGGGCAATGCTAGGGGTACACCAGGATACCCCATTTGTATACCAAGCAAACACAGACGACACAGACACAAAATGTCTGTGTAGCACAGACAAAAACACCAGGAAAAATTATGGGGAAAAGGGCATATTGCATAATAAACTTACCCAAGATGTTCTCCATAAAGTTTGTACACAAAAAGATTATTCAAAATAAAATCGAACATCCAAGCAACCTGATCATACCATAAGAAAAAGCAAGTAAATGTACCAGGTTTTTGGTGTGTAAAATCCCACTTCCGTTGTGTTTGGTGTCTGAGCTTGCCCAGTATGTGTCTTGAACTGGTGTCCTCACAGAAGCGCCAATATTGAAAATTTTACCAAGTTGGAACTACTGCTATTCGAAGAGTCTCACCATGTCACCCTCGTATCTGTTTTCAAATTCAGTGAACCTAGTTTCAAATTCAGAGAACCTAGTTTCAAACTCAGCGAACTTGGTCTGGAGTCCGTTCATTTGCTCACCGAATTGGAGTTGGATGCCTTGAATTTGTGTTTGTATTCTGTTCATTTGATGCATCATCGACTGAGCCCAAAGAGGTGTCTGGCTATCTGCTGTCGTCGAACTCTGATCTGGCTCAGACCCCTGCTCGTGTATCGTAGTAGGGTGCAGCATCGCCTCAGGTCTAGGCATGGTCTCGGCTCTCGGTCTAATCCTTCTTGTCTGACCTCTCTGTAAGTGAATGTGGGTTAGCATGGTAGTGTCTAAAAGTCGGAAACTTTGTTCCAAGGGAAGAAGGTCAGGAATAGGAAGATGTTCCTGCAGTGATTTGTGTAGCAGAGTGACCAATGGACCGCACACGAACGTCAAACGAGTGCCATAGGTCTGAGCCCATAAGAAACGTGCTACGAATACAGCCAAGTTGATAGGTCTCCGGTTAGCTAAACTCCAAAAGAAGAGCATGTCTGTGGAATAGACCCTGTTGCTGTTGCTAGGTCTCCCAAAGTAGCTCATGGACATGACGAAAGTAAGTGCTCTCCACGACGGCTCTGTCCAATCAGATGAGTGGCTAATTTGGTGCTCAAATGGGGCATCAGTGCGTGAATGAGCTGCCCAGAATGCCTGAATATCAAAATCATCAGGAACAGAGATGGGAAGATCAGCGAACGAATGATGCTGAGTCTCTTCCTGCGTATAAAGACCTAGTCGCCACCCAAGCTCAGCCACAGTGATGGAATGCCTCAGCCCTAACAGAGTGAAAACAAGGCGACTGTCATGTCTCATAGATATGCCTACGTCCTCTCGACGGTCAAACTCCAAGAACGGTCTCAGGGAGCAGATGAACTCGACAGTTAGAGGCAAACTAGCCTCTGCTCGTAATGACAGCAAGCGTTCCCATCGTGTCGGGCGAATAAATCCCTCAACATCTGTCCAAACACCTGCAGCAATCAACGGCCTCTGATCAAGGATCACTGGGGCTGTAGTGTCCTGTGTTGAGCCCAACCGGCGAATCGACTACGAGCTTCATCCGTCAGAAGTGGAATCTCAAGTCCCTGTGCCCTCCTTAATGGGTCGATAGGTGTTCCTGCCATCTGCAAAAGTGGACAAACATTTATTAACCACCCTTTTCCTCTTTTTTTTTTTGTTTTTCTGTTTTGTTTTTTGGTTTTTTTGTTATGTTTTGTTTTTTTTGTTTTCTGTTTACCTTCTTCATCTTTAGTCCTCCAACGCTTAGAGGTATATCACTTCTCTTTCTAGGGACTAGGAGTGAGCAAGTACCGAACCGATCCCGAAATTTCCCGAAAACCCGAGATTACCGAACCGATAAAGTACCGAAAAAGAACCATACCATACCGAATGGCTTCTTATACCGAAAAATCCTGAACTGAACATATATACGAATATGTTATAATAATAATATTTTTATATTTCTTCATAAAATAATGAATTGATTTTGAAAAGTTGATTCAAGTGTAGATGAATTACAAATAATCTTTTATTTAAATACTCATTTATTTGAATTTTAATTTTTTGTAGATGAATAAAAAAAATTAACAAACATTTGAAATACTATTTTGTTATCATTCACTCTCTTTTATTGGCGTTATCATTCACGCCAATAAATTAAACTAAGTTTTATAAGCATTTCTTGCATTTAATTGTTCATTTTTTTTATTTTTTTATCTTTCATTACTATGTAATTTGCTATGTAATTTCACACCTCTTGAAATATTATTTTGGAAAAAATTTATTGCCAGATTACTGATTATTGAAAAATAATAATTAGTGTCACTCTAAAAACACTTAAATTTGGTATTATTTATGAAAACATTTTTTAAAAAAATACATTTAAATTTAAAGTTAGAAATTAAAAAATAAAAAAATTTACCTAAAATAATCTCATCTTTCATTTATTTGCGAAAAATAAGCATTTTCTAAAAAGTCTGTTAGCCATTAGCAACTTAACGGCGATCCAAAGCTTGCACACATCAGGAAAGGTGGGATTATTTTCCGTGATAATGAAAAGTGTAATTATTGTTGGAAGAGTATGAAAACGTGAGATTATTTGAGATAATTTTTCCAAAAAAGAAAAACTCCTCTTTTAACTATACCAGGTCAGTCTTTAAAAAAAAGATTCAAGATCATGCTAGCTTGATTGTCCCACAGAATTCAACATTGAAATCTAGAGCTCAAAATTCAAAAGAAAAAATCAATTTTGAAATAGCAACACTACATTATAAAAAACCATAAGTTAAGCAATACTCTGGAAATGAAAAAATCAAGCACTCAAAGAGGTTTTCAATTCCTTTATGGTAAAAAACAAGGCAAAAAAGTAAAAACACATAGGCTTCAATAAACAAGAAACCACACATAAGCTTCTCACTGGAAAAAACTCTACTGCAGAAATGAAAATGGGAAAAAACTAAGAACATTTTTAGGGCTCCTAGACAAATCAACAATTGACAAGCAAAAATTGCCAACAATCAAACAAAAACCAAGAAATTACGGAGTATATAGAAGAAAATGGATTGATTACCTGTTTCCGACAAGAGAAAGGAGGTGGCGCTTGATTACGCTAACCCTAGAACTCTAGCTAGAGGTGTGGGAGAAGATGAGGAGGCGGCCATGGAGAGAGGGACGATAAGGAGAAATGGAGAAGAACAGGGGAGATGAGATGAAGAAGAGGGGAGAAAACGCAAAGCAGAGGAAGGAAGAAGGAGTCGAACGAAGAAGACCTGAAGATGGAGGCAGACGGAGTTTGACCGAATAGAATTAGAGCACTCGAAATGGTCACCCCCGGCTTCAATTAGGTACTTCAAACTCTCTTTCTCCCACGTCAATTTTAACTTACACTAAAAATTTACTGGAAATAGTTTTGAAGCCCCGGGGCTTCCAACTGGGGCTTCTCAAACCTTCATTTTTTACATTTTTAAATATACATCTTCTAAATTTAAATTCATAAATTTAAATTAATTTATTATTTTAATTAATCGCAATGACACTAGTGCATTAAAAAAATTAAATTCATTATAAAAAAATCTTACATTCATAAAAAAAATTCAAAAAAAAATTACATTCATTAAAAAAAATATTACATAAAAAAACAGTACAAAGAAATCACTAATTATTCGAACGACTAAAGATATGCTCGATCAAATCCGCCGTTAGTGCATTGTGAATCTCTCGGCTTCAAATTTCTTGGCGGTTGCGTCGTTTCTTTTCTTCGGTGATTTCTTCGTACATAGGCACCTCCTCGTCCGGGTTGTATTGACAAATCGCAGACCCGTTATCCTCTATGATCATATTATGAAGAATAATACATGCGTACATGATATTCCTCATTTTTGTCTGAGAATAACATTTCGACGGACGATCTAGAATGTGCCACTTAGCCTTCAA